AACACAGTTATCCACCTAGTTCTATAACATTACTTTTGAGGGAAACTGAAATTCCTGCCTGGATCAAATTTTACTTCCCAATATTTTCCAGTGTTGCATGTTCTCCCTTTGATACTTGCATCCTTTAATTTATTCCATTTTGGGAAATGTATGCAAGCATGCTAGAGAATTGTTTTTCACAGAAATTACTAAAAAAAAAAATTACATACTGCTGAAAGAAAGCATATATTTCAACATCAAAGCTTTCCAAAGCTTTTTTTATTGACTTCATATGAAAAATAACTTTAAGACTATGGCTCATGTGGAATGAAGTCATCCTTGAATATGCCAGCAACACTACATAAAAGTTAGGAGGTGAGCAACTCATCCAAATATAATGGTAGGGGAAAAATCAGAGCATCAGAGTATATTAGTCATTCTAAGATTTGGCCACTATATTATATCCAACACCATTCTATGTTTAATTACCAAAAAGGGAAATGAGGTTTGTGTCACATTTTGTGACACGACAGATTCTTCAGTGTTCAGCTGGCTTATTGGTTTGGTCTGAGAGTGCTCTGACAAATTCTCTAATGCAGGGGATGGTATGTGTGTGACATGTGCACTCTCCAACTTTCTCTGTTTATGAAGAACTGTCCTCACTTTGAGTTTTCTGCTCCTGGCAGATCATTCTTATTATTTTTGCTATTTAAATAATTTGAAAAAACATGGGTGAGGTTCTAGCATTATCATTCTTCTAGGAACAGCTCCTTGCCTAGAGCTTCTATAAGTATCACAAAAAGGTATGTGAACAGCATGAAGATAATTACGTGTGTATGAACACTTGTACATGGACACTAAGGCACCACACAATACACAACCCGGCAGTTCACACACTACAGGAGCAAGGGTGTATTTTGAACAGATGATCATGTATTGTAGAACAGCTATGGTTTAGTATTATTTATTTAGCCCAACGATCCAACACTATTCTCTCAACTTTAAAATGAATAGTTCTGCAGAGTAAATGAATGTATCCTGTGGAAGAGCTTCAGTAATGTGTAATAATGGAGGTTGTGGGCCCTGCAAGGTAAGCCTTGGTGTTAGAATAAACACAGTACAAATATGTCCCTATCTTCATGGAGATGAGTTATATGTTGGAAAATGTGCATACCGAATTATGCAAACTTTGGCATCATAGCTAAACTGCCCAAATGCTAAAATGATGTCCTAAATCAAAAGAACCTTTAAAAAGTTCTCAGGATGCACACATTTGCAGATTCTTTCTGACAGCCCTATAAACTAAAGCCTACAAGCAAATTATTCCCAAAACACTCATTTATGAATTCCCTTCACCTTCCAAAAGCATCTGGTATTGCTCATTGTTAGGAATGGAATACTGGAATAGACAAGACAAGTGAGGAACAGCTAAGAATTCCAGAAATACAGAAAGCCTCTGATATGGCCTTTGTTCTTTTAGCAATAAACCTCTGTCCTGCTTTGCAAAAGTGAGTTTTACTGTGTGTGATTTATTATGTAATTACAGCAAAGAGATATTAGAGCTCATTAATTATCTCACAGAGTATAAAACTTTTAAATTAAGTTATCGGCCATACAAATGTCACAATGGATGCCATTTACTCTCTTTAATATATAATGATATATTGCAAATGGTGCTAGAAAGGGGGGGTGTTTTTTCCAGTAAGCGTTAGAAGCAAAATAGTGTCCCTCCTTGCATTTAGGTAGTTTCTTTGTAGTCATCTTCTCTTTATCTAAACTTGCTTGGTGCCAAGGCCCAGCTCACACAACCTCTCCCGGCATGCAAGGTCACATATAGAAAAGCTACTATAAGCCAGGCTGTATTTATATCGCACCTTTCAGCTTTTCAGAAGGCCCCAAGGCCATTAACAACCAAAAAATAATCGAAAAACAACCTAATACGTAAAATTTTACAACATTCAAACTTTTAAACAGGAGCTTATTAGTCGATTCTAAATGATACAGTAGATTTAACTAGACCTGAAAAAGAAGTAACTAAGAGTTGTGCAGGAGAAAAACTGAAAATGCCCTACTTCCAGTGGACATCAATCTAGAGGCCATGGGATGCAAAGTGTCCTATGATGACACAACACAAGAGAGTTATGCACATGAAAAGCAGCACTCCAGGCTATGCACAGTGCTGTCATTGGAACTGAGTCTGGAAATGGATTGGCAACCAGGTAAGCTCTTTTGGCATTGCTGTCATACGCTCCCAGTAGCTAGCCCAAGCTGAGAATATGCTATTTCAGTTTCCAAACTGTTTTCAGTTTCAGTCTCATGTAATAGTAACACTGACATACAAACCAATAGCTAGGGTCTAATGGTAATGCCCCACCACCATGTTCTAATGGTAATGCTGGCATGTACGAGCCAGAATGCAACTATCCCATAACTGCACACCTTTTGCCCACGAGTCTTGTTTTTCTTGTTCTGCCACTAGCCATAGTTATTCCAGTAGTACAGACAAAAACCTGCAATGGCTACAAAGCATATCTTGCAATGGCCCCATGTAAGTTAGACAAACACATTTTTCAGAGCCCTATCTCAGGGAAATTCCACCCTCCAATCATCCTGAAGAAACAGGAATGTTCCACAGCCTCTCTTAACATCCTCTAAATGTTCTGGATTACAAAGCCCATCAGAACAGCCAAATGGCAGATTTCCAGTTGAATACAGAAAACCTCCTATGGAGTGGAGAAAAGTCAGGATACTGTGGTATGATAGTAACTTACGAGGGGCTTGGGTAATAGTTTGTTCTACTGGCCAGTTCAGTGTGTCATAAAAGGGTCAGTTCTGATCACGCATATTTGTTTTCTTTGGTCCAAACGGACTATCAAAACAGCTACTATGACTGAAGATACCTCTTTGATATCTAGGCACCATAAAAAGCTTCAGAGCTCACCAAGGACATATAGCACTTTATGAACCAATATCTTAAAATGATAGGAGATCTAAAATGAAATGGCGTACAGCCCATTTCAAATAATTTAAATTTAGCTGCATTCCAAACTTGCGAATACTACTGCATTTGTAACCAAATAACAACCATTATTAAAGTGTCCATTAATTCTGACCAAAGTAAATCTGCATATTATTGCTTTCTGCAAAGGACAGCAGGCAGTAGGTGCTATACTGAAAAAGCTGAGATCTCCAGCATTGAAAAATATAACTGTTTGAGTCATATCAGCATCACATAAGCATGCTCCAGGTATTTATCTTTAATCTGTTCCCAATTCAGAGCTTATTTTCTAAGAATAAATTAATTTTATATACTTTGACATTTATGTACACCAACAAAACATACTTGGTTTATTAAATGACAATGTTTAGACAGCACTCAGATAAGTGTGTGTGATAGTAAACAGCTAACTAAATTAGTTACTTAGAGCTTTAACAATATCATATTAACAGACAACATTAAAAGACTATTATACTATTTTTATTCTTTTGTAACCAACACGTAATTGAGCATAATTGCCCAGTGACAAAAACATGTTTAAAGAAATTACACCGACCAAATTTCAAATGAGTTCAAATTGTTATGTGTTCTGAAACTGACTGGGCTTTCCCCCCCTTTGCCTCACAGATTATGAACTACTTTTATCTCAGGGGAACATTTACACAAATGCACATTTGGACATATGAGCACAAATGGAACTAAATTTCTGTTCATTCCTAAAATTCTGATTCTGTCAATGAGCAGGTGACAGAATGAAAGACACCTCACAATCCACGAAACCCAGATGGAATGGAAATTTTAAAATCTGTATCTCCCTAGCTGAGAGTGAAACAAGGTATCTATGAACAGCAAGAGGTGGCTGTGAATAAGGTAGGAAAAGATCTTAGGGAAAGATGTAATCCTGTGAACAAGTTTTAGGTCAGTTCCAAACAGAGCAATCTTATGGCTCCTAGACAGAATTTAGGGAGCCAGAGAGCTTTTTCTAGAGTCCCAACTCTGACCTTGGAAGTGGGACTCAACATTCAGAGCACCCTCCCCTCCACTATAGCTGGTACCAAAGAATCCCACTGGCTGTTTTTTCAAGGTTCTAAGCATGACCTCATAGAAGGGTTTTAGGGGCTTTCACTCCATGGTGGGGAGGGGAGCAACCAGTTCTGCCAAGTTAACCTGGCAGTCCCTTAGCCTCTTCCTTTCCCCTCATTGTCTGCATCTGAAGGTCTAGTTTATAGCCAAAGAGAAGTACAAAAATATTGACATTAAATACATATTATAAAATATTTAAACACATTCCTTACATTTGTTGCATATCTGAGAAAGTAGACTGCAGGTAGAATGACTAGGCCTCATGTACTTGCCTCTGACTTTAGCATGTTAATCTTGTCACTCTTACCAGATGCAACAGATATACTAGCTTTATGCACATGGGATTTCTGCACAGGATGGGGGATCCTGTGAGGTGGTTGGGAGTGGAACCGTGCTTCCAATCCAACTCAGCCACAAACACATGTTCACTGAGCACAGTTTTACTTATATGAAAAGGACTGATGATTTGCCACATCTTCCCCATGTTCCAACTCTGAAATTGATGGAATTCTATTCTAAAGATGCAAGCTTTAAGTTCCATTCCTAATTTTTACTTGTTTCTGAAATTCCTGAATTTTAATGCAACTGAATAGGTACTGTTTTCTACTCTGGTCATAACACTTGCAGCAAATTGTGATTCCCATAATATTCCTTTCTCCTTGTCTGTGAAATTAAAAAAATACGTTTTGTATATTTTGTTTGCTTTATTGCTTGCTACAGGAGTTAATAGATTCAGATATTAAATTAGTTGTGTGTTTCTTCTTTAAACCAATCTGCACATACAAAAATCAGACAATTTTATGATTAAGAGCAAAACTGCAGGAGAATTTTTAACCCAGCTTCGATCTAGTTTGCTATTTCTAATACAAACACATGTCAACAAATGCATAAGAAATACCAAAACATGACAGTATTTGCTCATCACAGATATAGAACTTACCTGATAGTCTAAAATGCTGAATCCTAAGCCTGTTTTCATGTCTTTTATAAGCTCAACAACTTTGACTTCAGAAGACCATACTGCTAGCTCCACATCTTCCTCCTCTTCTTCCTCTAAGCCTCTGGGTGTCACCTAAGGAATTAGATATCAGTACAGTTTCTACTGATAAATTCAGTCAGCACACACAAAGTTGAAGAGGTCACTTAGACTGCATAAACTATAGTGTTATTTTTCATTTCATTTTAGCTTAGCATAAGGTCACTAATCTAAGTCAGCCTTCTACAACCTGGTACCTTCAAAATGTTTTGGATTTCAGCTTCCATCCTCCTTAGCCAACATGGCCCACAACAAGAACTAGCCCAAAACAAATAGAGGGTACCAGTTTTGGGAAGTCTGTTCTAAGTTTTCAGCAGATTTCTTATTAGGTGTGTACAAAAAGAGCACTCAAAGGCTACAATAAAAACATAATCGTAAAAGTAGCATCAGATAAAAATTAAGAGTATAATCTGTGTCCCCTGAAAATTTCAGAGTTAATGCTTTTCTCCACTAGGAGAATAGAAGCTAGCCACTGTCTTTTAGCACATCATCTTCAGTATGAGGTTAACTATACTGTATTATAAGATTGCTGAAGGATAATGTCAAAGCATCCAAATCATTTTGTAGACATGCTATACAAATGAAGAAACACACAAGAGCATAATATAGTCAGTCATGTGATATACAATACAAAAGACAAGAAAAATGAAAGCATAAATATGAGAATATTACTTGAAAAGCAAAATTATAACTCCTTATAGTACAGAATTCATTGTGATTCAGGTACAGAAGTATAGGTGTGCTGGGATCCAAAGACTCTCCCATTTACAGAGTATAGCTCTTCTTTGTCAGAAATGGAGATAGGGGAGATGCATGTAGATCTTTAAAAATAAAACTGATGGTTTTTTTTATTAATGAATCAAAAGATGGTAATTATATATGCAGAAAAAACAAAGAATGGGAAAATGTCTCCAGATCTGTATTTTGATTCTCCTAAATTGTCTGAAGCTGCAGCAAACTGTCATCAAAGAGCTGGACTTCCTCTTGGAACAGCTAGATTTTTAATTTATTGTGTATTTTATTCAATGTTGTGAGCTGCCCTGAGACTTCGGCAAGGGGCGGCATAGAAATGTTTTAATAAATAAATAAATAAAAATAGATATAATTCTGTGTATCAGGAGTTCTATGACTTTGTCCTAGTAGAGTCATGACCCGCAGGAAGGTACAAGTTGTTAAAAGAAGATGGTTCCTACTTCCAACCAGTTCTCCATTTGGCTGTTATGTTTCTCTGCTCTTGCAAAATTCCAGAAGTTCTCTCAACTTTGCAGCATGGTTTTTGAAGGGAGCGGGAGAAGGGCTGCAGATAACTCAGGTAACATAACTAAAACTCTATCACTTGGTTCTTATGATCCAAGCCATCATCCATTTCATAGATGGATGAAGACATTAGTGTGGTATCATTTCATAGACATTAGTGTGGTATCACTTGGTTTGCAATTTATTGTGCTTTCCTCCCATTTTATTTGATTATTCAGTTTGATTTCTTCTTTCCTTGCTAATACTTTCAGCCTGATGTAAATATGTTTTAATACTCAATTATTGAACTGTGACTCCTTTTTGGAAGAGAAGAGTGGGATATGTATTTCCTATATAAATATAAAAATTTCCATTTTGTTATCAGCCTGTAACAGTTGCCTAGAACACTGAGGGACTGAATATGGACTAAGATGAAGTTCACTCTACAGGTCATGTTGGTCAATAAACAAGATGATCTTGGTTTAGTAGTACAGCCTGTTCTGGATGGAATTTCATTCCCTCTGAAGAATCAGTTTGGTTGCTTGGGATTGGATCTAAACCCAGAGTTGCTCCTGGAAAATCTGGTGACTGCAGTGGTCAAGAGTGCTTCTCATCAGCTTCAGCTAATATGTTAGCTCCTTCCCTAACTGAAGGTGGTCCTGAACATAGTGATCTGTGTTATTTATATCCAATTTAGATTATTGCAATGTACTTTCCATGGGGTTGCCCTTGAAGTGTGTTCAATAACTCCAGCTAGTATAATATACTGCAGCCAACATCGCTATGTGTAGACCATCTTACACTAGTAGCAAATGTTTAGTTTATTATGGAAGCATTGAAAGCTGAGATCTGGACATTTTAATAGCTAAAATTGTATGTTCCAGTTTGCATCAAGTCCTTTGTTCATAAGATGGAAGTAATCAGCTAATGGGGAAGCTAAGACTAGGTATAATTCAAAGCTTTTGCTCCCTTATTAAAGTGAAGAATGATAAATGGGATGCACACCGTCAGCATGTCAGCCCACTGATTTACATATCCTGCATCATTAGCAAAATGACGTTTCTAGCTACCAGCCTAGACAAGCCACAGGAGCTTCCAATTATAGTAAAAGTAGTAAAGTCACAAACATGAAATATCTCTAAAGATACATTTACTAAAGTACCCTTGTACCTTTGGTCCAAAATACACTGCAATCTTATACATATATACTCAGAACTAGGCCCAACTGAGTTCAATGGGACTTATGCCTAGATAAATGTATACCGGATTGCAATCTTCACTTCCTAAATGAAATAGGATTTTTATTCCAAATGTTTCCTATGTTCTCTAACTTGTGTTTTTAAGGTAGTTTGTTACAATTAGTTCTGCACTATTCAAATAAGTATGTTTAATTTTAATAGGTTCCCTAGTGGATGCTTAGAATTATATGCCACATTCCAATGAAGTTCTGTGTGCATGTACAAAGTGTTCCAAGTTTTCAGTTTCCTTTTTAGCAGCATTCCCCTGCACATCTGGAAATACTCTTTGAGAGGTTCCCATCATTTTTGAACTGCTGCCTAAAGGTCAGAACTAAAAAGTCACAGCCCATGTGCACGTTGGATCGAAGTATAAACACTTCGTGTTTTCCAAAAACAGCAAAGATAATACTACAAAAATACCCAACTTTAAAGGCTGCACCAATATTTATAGTTCCTGACACTTTTAGAGGTTGTTTTCTTTATCAAGAGAAACTCAGTTATAATTAGTTTTCCATCAGTGAACTAGAAGCCAGGCATTTTAAGCATCATTTGGAAGTTTAAAAGAGATCAAGTTTATTTTTTAAAATGTTTTTTGACAATCAAAAAATGGTGCTTGTGTTAGCTTGTAAGAGTAATATTTTATCATTTTGCATAATTATTTAGAGTGAATGGTATATTTTTAATTTGTAATAAGTATTTTTTAGGATTTGTATATTAGTTTTTAAAGTTTCTTTTATATTATGTTATCACTGCTTCAGTTATTCTTGATAAAGAGAAAAATCTCAAAATACTTTGACAACTAATAACATTGGTGCGGCTGTCTTGTATTGTTGCTAACAGTTTTCTGCCCTTTACACAATACTAATATTGACAAGGTTCTTAGGAATAGGGAGTCAGTACAGAATGGATTTCAAGGGGAGATGTAGCTGGAGGCTAAGATCTTCAGTTCCACTCACTCTGCTATATCATTCCTTGAGATTATTCAGGAACATGTGAGTAATGGGATTTAGTGCAAGGCTACTTTCCTTTCCTTTTCAACCTCTTTAAGGATTAACTATCGCGATTTTCCTTAATGAACCATAGTAGTCTCAATTTACCTATACTTCCTTTCCTGCTGCCCTTTTCCTACACTTCAACAATCTTTGCCCTTGAGAAAGCTTGAATATACACATAAATTACTACAGTGTCCCATAGGAGATTATCAGGTTTCCATTCCAGTGGCAGTTCCCTACACATCTGGAAATACACTTCTGAAGGAACCCCTCACTCTTGGATGGGCCAAATTTCTAGGGGCTACATCTGAAAGGGCAGAATTCTATATTCTGAAGAGTAGCTCATACATGGCTGATTCTAGAGAACTACTAAGCAGGAGTTGCAATTGTAAAATATCACAATGAATTCAGTTTCTTGATTGTCTATAGTAACTAGATTTCCAGGCAAGTGTATTTACAAGGATTTATATTCCTTTGACTTCTGTGGGCTACATGCTAATGTACATTCAGCATTCTACCCATTGAACTATACTTTCTACATGCAGAGTTTAGTTTTTATTTATGATTGCTAGATACCTCTACACTTACATGTATGAAAATGCATTATATGGCTGCCTTGAGATCCCAGATCTACTACAAGCAAAGTTGCTAAATATTTTCATCAAATGTACTAAAATGGAGGGGTGTTTAATGATGCCCTGTAACACAGCAAAAGTGTCTACAAATCATACTCCTTATGGTAAGCAAAATTTTCACTTTTATACAATCTGCAATGATATGTTAACAAGCATGCAAGTATCTGCATATATGCACAACACTATACAGGTATTCCCAAGGGCACAGGGGTGTGCCCCATCACTGTTGTAGAATGTAGAATTCTGAGTGGATGAGCAGTCCATGAAACAACCACAATTGTCATTCATAATGAAAATTACTGGCAAAATAACTAACACCAAACCAGGTGTGATCCTTAGAAAGTTCAGGAGCATCTGTTGGGACTCCTGATTAACTAAACTGCGGTCTTTTTTACCTTTGGTTCTGGAATGCTGGCAATAATGGCAGTGGGCTCATCCACAAAAGACTCTGTGCCATCATCTACCAGGCGCCGACAACAAACCAAGGTAAATGGAGGTGGCACTTCCTTAAGAAAAGAAACTGCTTCACGGCGGGATTTTCCACAGAGCTGAACACCATTTACCTATACAGAGAAATTAGAACATATGTAGGCATTCAGGTTTCATCATAAGCATATTTTCATGTAACCTAAATGAAACACATTTTCCTGTACAAGTCCAGTGTAGAAGAAGTTGTGCCTAAGAGTTAATCCTAAAACATTCAGTGGACGGGTGAATTTTCAGTAATTTGATGACTGCATACTGAAGCACTGTGGCAGAGTTTTATTGGTTTTATTTCCTGCTAGCTTTTCTTTCTTTCCTTTCTTTTTTAAAATCTTTCTAGGACCACCTACCAAAGCTACATTCAGCAGCAGTTCCATTTGCTGGAGTCAGTTTCTCCCTTCAGCATATACAAATGCCAAGAGATATCTGAAATCCTTGTGCTAAGTGAAGTGCTCTACCTACGTATGCTATTTGCATAGAAATCTCTCCAGAGCCTCAACACAGGAGATCAGTTTCATGTCACAAAAGTCTGAAATGCATAACGGATCAGTGGTGCAAAGGTCAGAAATGGTTTCAAGTAGGTACCTTTGCCGATTTCATTACATTTGTTGGCACCAGTGAATGCACAAAAGCCAAGGGATCTGATATAGGTATTGAACAGGTTAGTGTGTCTTTGAGTCACCCTTTCCTGAAATAAACCAGGGGTTTCAACAGAACTGGTGCATACCAGTGCATCAGCAAAAACAGAACATTGATGGTGGATAAATATACCCAGTTTCACTGAAGATAAATTTTTCCTGGCATTGATGGCATGAAGAATAATCGTGGCAACTTTCTCCTGCTTATGTTGATGAAGATATTTGGACAGAGCTGGTCATCTGCTCTTGTTTTTGACACAGCCACAAATTCTTTTTGTCTCTGCTTCAAGGCACACAGTAGACATCTCAGTCAGATACTGCATTAGCTTAACCTTTGTTTCAGTGCAAGAAAGAAGGTACTTCTGTGGAATGCTATTGATAGCAACATGGTGTCAGCAACATGGTACCATACTATAGGTGTAAACTTTCCAGAAATGTTAAACCCACAGGAGTGGGCAAAACCCTATTGTTTTTCCATTGTTTTCAACAGTTGATGAAGAGTTTTCTGCTGCAGGGAAGAGGAGGCAGAGCCTGGACAGGAAATTTCTGAATTATCCATTTTCGTTTCCTGCTTTCTTCTGATAGTTCTTCTACGTAGGCTTGCACTGCTTGAGTGGAGATTGGATAAGGCTTCCAAAGGAGAACTCCATATTGTGCCATTACCTCCCCTTTGCTCCTGTTGCTTTGATTAATATAACTTTCCACTGCAGCTATACAGGTAAGTAAACAGGTACACCAATTCACATATAAATAATGCTTGATATGGGGTGGAAATGTTATTGCCCTTTAGATGTTCTGACCAAGCCTAGCATTAAGGATCAGCACAGACAGGCAGATGAGAGGTTTCTGAGAGGTTTCAAAATACTCAGTCCAGTCTTTATGCCTCGGCTGCTGTCAGGCCTGTCAGCTGCTGGAGCAGGGGCTCCTCGTCCTCTTCCAGTTTTTGTTTTCCTCCTAGCCTGGCCAGCTCAGCTGGACAAAGAAGCACCAAGGCATCTGGCTAGACAAGCCTGCAGGGCCTGTGCAGCAACATTACAAAAACCCTTTTAAAGAAACGGTGCATTTTGAGTAGTGGTGGTCTGGGCTAAGTTGGTGTTACCCTTTGTAGGGGCAGACTGTGAGTGCATGAATGGGAAACAAGTGATCTTTTCACTGCCAATGTACCACTCTTGGTCACCCTCACCCAAGGCAGCATCTGAATGGTCCAGTTCATTGCTGTTCAAGGTGTAAGTTTTTTAAAAAGAACACTTTTGATTTTCCATGGGTGGAGCAGCATGAGACCTGCAAGCTCATCCAGCTCATCCAGCAAGCTGCTGCAGTGCTTGATTTGCCAGCAAAGCCAGCCAAGCTAAGAAGTAGACGGACGCCACAGTAGAAGAAAATGAAGGAAGAGAGGCTGCTACCATGACTACCTGGTTTAAAGGGAGGGGGGTGAATGGGAGGGAGGAAGGTTGACTGGCTGGCAGTGATCAGGGCTAGTGCAACGTGTGAGGGGCCAGTAGGAGTCTGAAGTCTGACACGGCCCTGCCTGAAGTCTCATTCCTTAACATTGGCTATTCTGCCTAAAGCTAACAGAAATTCCAGGTCAAAATTGGGCTACAAGTTGCTACTCCCACCTTAATAAACATTGTAATATTACAAAACAAATTGTATATTTACATGTAACTTTCTCTGTGTACCATACCTCTAAAAGTTCATCCTCCAACTTCAGTAAGCCATATTTAGCCATTGGGCCATCTGTAGCAATTGAAGATATGTGATGGTGTCCTTCAAAGGTATCCAGTTCAACTCCTAACCTCAATGTATGTATGGGGACCAACTGTTGAAAACAATTCAGAAAATATTAATAGAGAAAAGTGAGAGCCACTGTGATGTAGTGGTTAAGAGTGTGGGACTGCAACTCAGGCAAACTGGGTTCCCAGCCCTGCTTGGCCATGGAGCAAACTGGGTGACTTTGAGCCAATCACAGACTCTCAGCCCAACCTACCTCATAGGGTGGTTGTTGTGGGGATAAGATTGAGAAGAGGAAGAGAATGATGTAAGCTGCTTTGTAAGAAGAAAGCAAGATATAAAGTTAATAATATACTTTCATTGGCCTCTACAGCTTTTTCAAATTAATCAACTGAATGTTACTCCAGTAATGGTATACCTTTTATCAAACACTGCATTTTGATAAAAATAGGAAAATATTGAGTAGAGAAGCACAGAAAGAGTCAAATGTGTTACTGGTATGGCTGCTGATAAAAATCAAAAGCTTCTCTGATCTTATAGATGTTTCTGCCTATGCACAGCAGGCCTCTTCAGCCTGATGCCCTCGAGATGTTTTAGGCTCCTACCATTCCTGAACTTTTGGCTATTTGGGCTAGCACTTACAGGAATTGAAGTTCAAAACATCTGAATAGTATTGTATTGTGGAAGGATGATGTGCAGTGTACTCTGCATGGTTACAGATAATGATCCAAAAGTAAGTTCTTACAGAGTAGCTTAAATGTGCCAGACTCACTCAAAAACAACATTCAAAACAGTTCTCGAAATGTTATGTGCAAGCAACTCCGATCACAATATATTTAGGTGATAGTACAGAGTTTTCCAATTCTTCAGTAGGTGCATCAAGAAACAAAATAAGTTTTCAAACATTTCCAGTGTCTAATCATCCAATACCTACATATACAGACATCTTAGGGGCATGCTACATGATCAGCATAAAGCTGGCAAGTTTGGAGGATGCTTACATCTCAAAATGTAGAAACAGCTAAGTACAAAGAGAAGAACTGCCTTGTTTTGCCACCTTCACTTGGTGGATTGCTGGATTCATAACTGTCAGTGTTCATCATCTGGAAACTTAAAACTATCATGGAAAGTGGGCATCTATTGAATTGCAGTAGTTGGAAAATTCTACACAACAGCAGGTTTCTTCCTTTATCAAAATGCAGGCTTAATTCATGTGATTTTAAAAGGATTTATGACATGGTGACCATATACACACACAATGGGATACTAGAATTTCAAAGAACCCTGTCTTGCTGTTCATGAATACCTGCCCTATTCATCTTTTCCCCCCAGTGGAAGCAGCTAAACTGCCAATGAAATGGAGGCTTAATGCATTATCCAAACTCTGGTCTCCTAGCTGTTGGCTCCAAACAAGCCAGGAACTGTAAACTAAGAGAAAAATGATTAACAATTCTGGCTGCTAGGGGATAGCTTTCCTGTTCTGGTTAGGGTTAGGGTTCTATGGGTGGAAGAAACCAAGAAGGAGAAATTATGGATTATGTGCAATAGCATGAATGGTATGCCAAGATTATCTGGATTTTTATTTTTATTTTTTTTGAAGTTAGTGTTGCTTCCAGCAGGCAGGTGATGGACTGAGTTATCAATATATCCCTTAAAATATTTCCAATTTAGGCATATAAACTGCATTATACCTCAAGTCCTTTAACAATGAATATTCCAGATTTTGGCACAAAGTTTTTGAACAGCAAAGCTGCAGAACAATGGACATCTGACCCATATATTTCAAAAAGGACAGAATACAATTGTAGAAAATGAAGGACAGGCTTCTTGGCTGAATTCATGCTCAGTATAAAAGCTGCAACATTCCTTGGATATGCCCAACATTTCAAAAACATTTATGTGCAAGAGTTTGGTTCACCCTATATCCTTTCTCAGCATCTTGCAGAAAAAAAAGAGAGAATAAGGCTTTGTTGCGATGGGGGCAGCATAGAAATGTTTTAAATAAATAAATAAAACAAAGATCCAATACCTTAGCATATTTCTGTAGCTCTGCATCATCTGCAACTGGAATGTCCACAGTGACAACCTAAACATTGAACAACAGAAAAAAATATAAAATAATTTATTTCAAATTAAAAGAATTTTATCTCAAAATCATTGGACGAAAGCATGTATTATTTCTCTGGCTTTTTTGGGTGACATTGCAGGGGGCAGATTTCCTGGTTCACACATAACAGTAAACAATCTAGCAGAACACAGATTTCCTGGTTCACAATAATTGAGAATTTTTTAAAATTCTGAGTTAATGTGCAGTGAGCTATTAGGATTGAACATTTGTTAATTACAATGATCCCATAATTCAACCCAAAATGACTGGGGAAACATATCTTATGTGCAGATTTGGTGGATAATGTAACTCCACCCCTAAAATTCTAAACCTTAACCTGTTCTTTAATCGTAACAGTGTCTAACATTAAATGCACAGTGATTTAAAGGATATAAAGAAGCATTTGGATAGCATACCATAACTTCAAAATCAGGTCCCAACACTTTTTCCCACTTAGACTTCAATATATTTTCTGGTCGCTCCGGGGGTTTCCCTAAATACAATAATTAACATTAAAAACTATCTCCTTGAAAGTGCATTTATTACACCAGTAAGCTGCAGTCATTCCAAAATAAGATTACCTTGAGCTTTTTGCGTGCTGAACAGAATTTTGTAGGTGAACAAGTCAAGCACCAGCTAATGCTGAAGATATCTTTCAGTTTTGAGATGTATGGAATATAAGTTTGCCTAGATGAGGCGGGAAGCCTGATTCACTGAATAGTGTAAATTACCTTTCTGTGATCTGGTGGTCCCCAGATGTGCTGGACAACAGTACAACTGTCCACAGCCAGCATGGCCAATGGCCTGGAAATGGGGCACCTCCCTGGGGAAGCCTGTATAAATCTTCTGGTGACCAACAGCTTTTGGAGACTTGGTATAAATCAACCATTACTGAGTACAAAGTTAATTTCTGCTGACTCGATTTACTGGTTGATATTCATAAAAAAAAAAAAACACTCCTCAAGAAATGTGCCAGCTCCCACTTGCAAGAATATGTTATGAAAAGCTATAGTACTAGCATGAATCTGTAGAATTTATTGATACATTTGGCAGGTATAAAGTCCAATTTGGATTAATTAAGCTTCTGAAGAACTTGTGCTTGAATTCATGGTAAAGTTCTAAAAATCTGCAGGAACTTGGATATCTTGGCATTTATCCCTTTTCAGCTTATTTGTGCAGCCAGAGTGGTATTATAGCCATGTAAGACAATTCAACATGGCTAGACAGTGTAAAATGACTGGCTGCCCTGCAACGAGAAACTAAACATACTTATGAAAAGCTCCTTGCCTATGTAATATTGAACTCACAGCAGTCAAAATTTCCCACATGCAGAGAAAATAATATATTTTTTTAAAATGAAGAGTAACAGCAACAGTACCACCACTTTTTTCTATAGTCTATTTTGTTACAACTTTGGACAAGTTACAGGACAGTTCATATAAGCAGCTTTTTGTGTAGGCAAACTCCTAATGCACACTGCGGACATTTGATTTTTTTGTTCTTTATCATTGTTTTGTAATATGTTTATATGATAAGCGTGACTAGTGTCACCCTGGTTGAAATTACTGCAAGTAGTAATCTGGCCAGTGGACTTTAAAAAACAAGCATCTGTCCTGTGGGTCATGTTACACAAAACGTAGAATTCTTGTCTTGACATTTGAAATGAACATTGAATTTTAGTGTCACACATTTTTACACTCATTTTATAAGGCGAAAAAAAGACCCATCCAACTGCCAACATTTAATTGAGTCACCAGAAAGCATTCAAATAGATCAAAGAAGCATTCCTTCAAGCTTTAGCTAGGAGACAAGTTACAATGAACTTGGCAAGCCTAATTCCTGGGCAAACATGCATAGGACTGGGCTGTGCCTCTTTCAGGTACACTGATTTTCCTTCAAATAGTATTGTATAGTGTTATTTTGAAAAGCTCATAATCACTCTCAGCCATGCCAGTAGCTAATTTTACCTCAGCTGTGTTGTCAGATTGTTTTTTTGATACCATGGCCTTTTTTGTGTGACCTTGGATAATTTTTACTCAACTATATCACAAATCTTGCTTCACTTTTTGAAGACAATGTTGTATTTCATACAGTCCTGTGTTGTAGTGCAGCTAGGTAATTTTAGGCTCTCGACTTCATGATCTTAGGCAACCTGTGAGGTAGGTTGGGCTGAGAGTCTGTGACTGGTCCAAAGTCACCCAGTTGGCTCCATGACTGAGCGGGGACTAGAACCCAGATCGTCTGAGTCCCAGTACCATGCTCTTAACCACTACACCACACTGGCTCTCATCAGAAATAAATTGAAAATAAAGGTGCCAGTATTATAACGCTTTTATACAAATCTACTGCTCAGTCAGCACTGAAGTACCAGTCCAGTGACTGCATCATAATATTGTAGAGCAGGAAAAGGTGATGAGAACAGCCAAACTGATCAAGGGGTTAGAAAAAGTTACTATTTTGGAGGCTTTTTGGCTTAGAAGAAAGGGAAGAAAAAAAGGACATGACAGATACTGCAGAGGAAGTAATAATTTCTCCCTGTTATAGAATACTGGCATCAGAGCTCATGCAATGAGATGGAATGGCTGTAAATTCAGGAAAAATAAAAGGAAGTACCTCAGACAGCACATAATTAAATGATGGCATTTATTAGCATAAGATATGGAGATGGTCGCTAACCAGATGGCTTTAAAATGGGATTAAACCAAGTCCTAGAAGATGGCTACTAGTCACAACGACTATAGATTGCCTCCAATATTAGAGGCAATATTGCTTTCAGTACCAGTTTTTGTGAATGAAAGCTGAAGGATGCTAGTGTATTTGGGTCCTGCATGTGGGCTCTGTTGTAAGAGGATACTGGACCAGATAGGGCTTTGGTCTGATTTATCATGGCTCATTTTATGTAGCTTTAATACAGAAAAAGGCGATCTCTGTCTAAAAATACATTTGTCCCAGGGCAGGATATACTTTAAACCATAAGCACGAACACCTTTAATTAGACCTAGAAGAAAACAGTCAGTCAGGGGAGCTGTCACACAAACTGGTTGAATATATTCTTGTCTTCCTACAGACATTAGGAGCAGGATGGAACCATCTTGCACCAACTGCAACTTCAGAGTAATCTTCAAGGGCACACAGTCCTTGAAAATGCAGAAGTAGAGATAAGGAAGCTGTTCCCAAAATGACCCAGGCCTCCACAACAGATGCAAATGAAAAGAGGCAGTCTTGGTTACTGCTGCTGCCAGCTTCAAATCTGCTTTTATTGAGTGAATAGCCAAAGCAGGCCACTCCCAAAGATACTGGAATTGCTCAAGAGTGCCACCTGCATCATGTGCAGATTCAGCTTCAGTGTACTGAGCTTCATCTGAAGCTTACTCACTCACCCATGCATCCATCATATTAGATTAGAGCACAGACAGCTTCTGCTAGACTGGAAAAGGTCTAAAGTTATCCACATAGTGATAACACAACCTAAAGTCTTTAGATCAGCTTTCTCAATGGTTTAATGTTGATATCAAATTGCACTGCTCATAACATGGAGCATTAAGAAGTAGTACAGAAGTTACTTAAACCAATTAGATCTCCTGGCCTGCCATGATACCTTAGCCAGATGTTCAGTCCGGTCTGAAATAATGGAGTTATCTATGATACAAGAAGTCTGCTGAGATTACTGCTTTCTTGTGAACCTCCAGACACAGAGCATTCACTAGGGCAGGAATGACACTTTTGCTCCGTAAATAGGTCAGACTGAAAATGGGTTGAAAATGCGTAAATAATCCAGGAGTAATTTAATTTTCCCTTCCTAAAAAGGGAAGTTAGAGCTAAGCAAACATCCCTTGTATTTTATATTTTTTTGCACTCATCAAAGTACAGGATCCTCTGAATCCAGATTGGGGCCCCAGTGTGGGGTATAGGGGATCTCTTCCTCCATACTGCAACTCTGATGTGGATCACCGTCCCTGCTATTCGCAGCACTGAGAAATCAAGCAAATACTTTTCTTTTTCTGTACTGCATCACTATTGAGTACTATAAATTACAGTTGCTGGTCTCCCAGTGGAAGGGTAGCAGTAGGGTAAAGCCCCCCTACTAGGGGGATGCTGCCTGCTAGGATCCTGATAAAGATTGGCTCCCCTGCACTTACGCTAGAGTAAAAACAAATTAGGTAGCTGCATTAATGTAACATTTACTTTAGACAGATTCCAATGAAGTCTAAAGTTTGTCCAGTTTCCTTACATTAGTATAGCTTAAGGAGTGTATAATTTTTCAGTTTTTTAAATGAGGGTTACATCCTGCAGAAACTCAATGACATTCCTAGGTAAGCAAGTTTACGTCTATGAAATGTTAAGAAAAAGGCACTGCAGATATGTTGTACAGCAGCTGGCCACTGGACACCCAAACACTTAGCAATTGTGTCTTTTCTTTGTTCCCCTCAGGTAACACTGGAATATATGCAGCGCACACAAACATACTGCCCTAAAGTATGAATTGGATTTAAAGGAGGAGCTGAACCTGGGTTTTCCTACAGTTGAACCCAACACTGCAGCCAGTGCATCATACCTGAGCCCAGGTATTGCTAATCTGCTTGGATATGCTAGTATGTATGAATATATATTTTCAAATATATTCCCCTGACTGCACCATTATTTAAACATGGTTGTAGCTGCATCCCACAACATTATTCTAAATCTCTTCAGGAAATAGTAGTTTGAATGAAACTTTAGCACCATTAAACCTAGAGAAATAATGCATTTTATGAAACACGCTTTTTACATTAAGTTTGAAAGGCGTTTCCAGAGTTTAGACAGGGCATTAAATTAGTGGTGTTTTACTTTAGTGCTATTATAATTTAGTGCCTGTCAGCATTTCCAATATAAGTACCTATTTTTGAAATTTAATTTGGCCATTAAATTCTGCTCCAGGGTGAACTTTTATAGACAGTGTTTTACTATCAACCATGTTTGAAATGAAATGACTGCTTTTAGCATTCAAGCAAGAAAGGTAGATCAATGTATTTACTAGTGTGAAAACACTTTTCTACATTCCTGTATCTTAAATGGGTTTTTACCTTTCTATAATAAAACAGAATTTTACAGAATGACAAGCCTGTGGATGTAGAACTGCATGCCACAGACCACTTATTTGGTTTTAAAATCTTTTTCATTATTCTGTGAATGCCCAGATATGGTGAAAACTGATATTATTCAAAGTCTTCACAGCCTACCAACTGCAACACAGGGTATGAAATAGAAATGCTTATATTTCTAAGACTTGTGCATACTGTATCTCATGAAGTAAAAAGAAAACGTGCAACTTGGCACTGAAATAGCTTCTAGAGAAGAGGAACTGGGATAGTGAGAGGTCAGGAAACTGAGTCCTGTGCAGAATGACTGAAAGAGCTGGATATGCTTAGCCTGGGGAAGATTAAAGTCAGACATATGAGCTGCCTTCTAATACCTGAAAGGCTGTCATGAAAAAAGGGGGGCAGACTTGATCTTTGCTGCACCACAGGATAGGACTAAGAATAATGGTTAGAAATTGTAGGGAAGCAGGTACTGGCTAAACATTAGAGGGAACTGTGTAACAGTGAAGATGAGTGGCAATGGAATAGACTGTCTTAGTAGGTAGTAGGTTCTCATTTGCTGCAAATACTTAAGCAGAGACTGGATGGCCATTTGTCAGGGATGCTAGCCACACCCTGAAAAGCAGAGCTTGAACTGAGCAGGTGATTCTATTATTTATTCAAAGGGGAAGTTTTGATTTACTTCAAGTATTTTGGCTGCCTTTCCAGGTATTCCAGTTCAGTCTAGGTCTACTCAAGGTACGACTACATTACCTCCAACACAAAACATTGCTCTGCTTGATTTGATCAAAACAAGCTGCTGGCGATAGAAATCGAAAAGATTCTAAACTAAGTAATAAAATCTTTACATAAGGAAAAAAATAGCAACTTACTGCAACAATCCAGAAAAATTAGAAATGTGACCTCCAACTTACCAATTGTTTCTAATTTTTGCTTCCATTTATTTTCAGAGCTGTCTTTATGCCCTTGAGGCTCCTCATTCTCATTATCTAGGTCAGTTTCAGTCTCCACAACACCAGTCAAGGTTAAAGTTGGCACATGTGGCTGCACTGTAAGTATTTCAAAAGTTGTCCATTAGTTATGGAATTGGAGGATAGCATACATTTTCTTCCTCTCCCTCCATAGCACATCTGATTTGTGATACGACACTGAATTTTTCACAGGATCACTTACTGGGGATAACTCCTTCCCAAACACCCTGTTATTTAGATTGTCAAGGAAGTTCTACAGTGAACACATAAGGTGAGGAGAGTCTGTTTCTTCCACTCCTCAAATGAGTTCTTAAAGGGGTACAATGACAAAGAAAATAATTGAAATTGGAGTATTCTAGAGAGTTGTCCAATTAAACCCTCCCACTAATGGTATGGCTTTCATCAATATAAGGGATAGGCCTTGACAGGGGAAGCCATTCCCCCTTTTTCCTGCAGCTCTCCATGAGCATTTAAAATCTGCTCCAGAGAGTTTAGAAGAAGAAGGTAAAATCCCATTGTACAAACATTAGTCCACTTGTGAGACATTGGATTTCATCTATTGTTTATATTTCAGAAAAATATTAAGCTCCACATAGGAGCTTAAAACAAATACCACTGGGTTTCAGTTATTTTCCCATAGTTTATCCTGCCTTTCCACAGACCATTATTTGCTAAACACAAATAACTTATTATGAGAAGCCATGTTTTCCTGCTGGGTTGTCAATGGTGGGTTGTAGTTAACAAACCATGGATTTTTATTGTGGCTGGATTCAGATTACACAGTAACCCATATTTCAACAGTGACCCACATTTCAATGAACCCATAAATTCCATGGGTGAGGGTTAACATCATCTGAACCCACTTAAACTGTACCATGCCTTTTATTATTTACTCAGAAAAATGGTAGAATGGGCATGGATTTTATTTATTTATTAAAACATTTTTGTGTGTACAATTTTCCAAACTTGATCAAGTACTGAAGGAACAACCAGTTTTGTAAATAATTAAGACTAAAAATCAACTTTTAATCCAAAATATTTATTTATTTATTTATTAAAAGTTTTTCTATCCCATCCCCTACAGAACATCTCAGGACGGCTTACTGAAGTGCTCAGGAAAATCAGCATCAGACTGCTGCCTTGCCTAGAAAATAATGCAAATATTCTGAAGGTAGGAAGAGGTTTACCTTTGTCTAGACCTTGTTCTGAAGAAGCAGCAGCATGCAGTGATTTCTTTCGAAGCAATGCTAGATGAACTGTCAGTCCTGTCCTACGCAATGCTTCCACAACATCTTGATTTGTGTAATTCTCAATGTTAACACCATCAACCTAACATTCAGAGAGCCATACAATGTAACTGGTAAGGTGCATGACAAACTAGATTGCATGAATGAGAATAACAACTTGTATCATTTATTATGGTGTATAACCAAAAATTCATCCATGACTATCCAGATGAAACATGGATTGAGTCTATATGATCTCTGCACCACTCAATACAAGAATAACAGCAAAACATTAATGCAGCTCCTTGTCTTTTCTTAACCATGGAAACACAATCACGCCAATGTTTGGCAAACCCAAATATTGATCAGCTGCAAAAGGGAGTACACAGGAATATTGGATGGGATCAGAAGTTCAGGTATTTAAAAAAAGAACAGAAAGAGATAATGACCCAGCTTGTATGTTGTTGTAAATTGCCTTGTTTGTACAATTGGCAGGTAGTCAGTGGTTTGTTAACTATCCTGAATATGCACAAATACCTTCAACAGTACAGCCTGTCATATCATGCAAATCAGACCACGGTGGCTTGATGGATTTTGGGGTGCTTGTACTCATGTCACTGGTCAGGTTCATGTGACACTGCTGAGAGTAAATTACACTGGTGAATGCAATTATGTAAATTTCCTAGCATACAACCAATATGTGCTTGTTAACTGCTGGTTAATCTGTGGACAGGGGAATAAGTGAATGCACTGGCTTCCACCCGCCCAGTCTCACTAAGTTAAATCAGGATCTACCCATGTAACAAACTATGGGTTGCATGACTGGCTGCTCTTTCCTCAAAAACCTCCAATGCTGTGTGTGTATATCAGAATAAACAACCTGGTGAAGGGATGCCATTTAATTCAGAAAGAGTTGGAACATTAGATTGCTCCTTCTGGTTCCTGGTTACTCAGGATTTGTTTAAGCCCTGGATAGCCAGAATATACAAACTGGGCCAGCAGTATGAATTGCATTTTTTCCCTGTACATCAAGTACAGGGTGTGTGTGAAAATACCTGCTATCTTCTTCCTCTAATTCCAGCACACATCATACCCTACACCATTCCCAAGACCCACCAACCCCCAGGAACAGATATGGAGTGTGTAGAGGGGGGGAACATGATAGGCTGCAGAGAGAAGCAATAAGGTCCCTTTCTATTAATAAGCCATTTTCTATTTAAGTAATAGAAAGTTAGGATCCAAGACTTTCTCATTTACCATACAGGCCCATTTATTTTTCCATGGTGGTATTTTATTCTGAATGTCAAATGTTCTTCAGAAGAGTCAACTTACAGCAATAATTTTGTCATTAACTTTTATCTGACCACTTTGTTCCGCAGCACTGCCAGGTATTATGTTTTTAACAAAAATCCCAGAAGATTCTACTTTAGAAGAGAACAGATAAGAACACTATTAAGATATTATCATATACTTAGAATGCGTGTATTGAGAGTAATCAATTTACTGTGCAATTGTAGACCTCTATTGTACAATTATATTCAGAAGTATGTCCCACTGAAGCAAATGGGTCTTAATGTCAGATAAGTGTGGCCAGAACTGCAGCCTTGGAAAGGGAATGGGGGAAACCAGAGCAAATACAAGAGTCATTTGGCAACTCTTTGGCAAAGTGGACTAGCTCATGAAATATTATACCACAGAAAATTCATGTTAAGCAATAAATCACAGACAACAGCAAAGGTATAGGAGAAATATACACATATCTTGAGATACTACCATATGGCAGCTTCCATACAGCCTGAAGTACCTGATCCTGTCTAATCTTGAAAGCTAAGCAAGTTGGGACTGGTTGAAATCTGAATGGTCACTTGAAATGTTGTGAATGCCAGAGAGTTTCAATTATGTGAGATATAAAATACAATGTAATGTAATACAATAATAATAATACTGTAAAAATGCTTACTTCTATTCATCATCCAACTGAACCAGAACACCAATTATATGTATTATTCAGATGTTTTGGAGAGCACAACAAATCTTAGATGGTTGTTTAAGAGTCTGCTTAAATCTTCTAATGTAAGCCATATCATATATCATGTATTTTAGTGTAACAAAGAGATCAGTGAGTTTCAACTCTTTTTACATCAAAATATTAGAAGGCTTCAATAAAATGGCATTGGAATCAATTAAACTGAGTGTGTAGGAAACTAAACACAAGTTCAAAATATTTGACGTGACATAGTAAAGAATCATTTAGGAAACAATCCTATAGACACTAGTCAGCATTAAGAAGGTAATAGTGTCTTGTGGATTCTGAAGTCAGAAAAGAGTTCTTTCCTTGGAACTGGGGAGCGCATGGAAAGAACAGAGCTGGAGTCTTTCTGAGGTTTTCAGAGTGACCATGCAGAAGGGTTTAGTACGTGTCCTGGGGAACAGGGAAGAGAGGAGAGCAGCACTGCCAAGACAACAGGTCCTGGCAGTGCCTCAGCCTCCCTCCCATCTGGCCACATTTGGCTGTTTAACTGCTTTGCAGAATAGGAGGAGATCTTGTTCAACGGGTTTGTTTTCTGATTTGATATCTACATCTTTTTCTTAGTGATTAGTTTCTTACTGTATTTCTATTACGTTTTGTTTGCTTTTGCTTCATTTCTTCAATCTCTAAGGGTCCCTTGGAGTTCTACACTGGTAGCCTCTTTGCTCTTGCCACTTGGCTCTCTAAAATATTCTTCTAATATTAACCTTTTATTTATGCTGATGATTTACACTTCTATATTTTGTGTTCCAGGTCTTCCCTCCCTCCCTCACCCCCCTCCTCTCTTGGCCTATTATGTTTGTTCTTCAGTAATTCTTTTTTTTTTCTTTAAAACTGAGCGGGGTGGGGGCGGTTCTAACCACAGCTTTCATCTTCTTTGATTTCTTCTACTGTTTTAAGTCTTGGTGCTATTTTTATATATCATATTTTACATTCTAGGGGCTTATTTTTTAACATGTTTATCTTGATAATTGCTGAATTGTGCCTTTTCAGAATTGTTTCAACTTTTCATCAATTTTTCTAAAGCACAGTTTGTCTTATTGAGACCTAACCAGTGTAATGCTATTTTTGTTGTTTTGTTTTGTTATCCTTCTTTAATTATTCTTCATTTGGCAGTTTATCTTGCCTTCCTTGCTGGTAAATGTGATCATGTTTCTCTGTCTCCTCTCCTGGCTTCCCTTCCATTATTATATTCATTTTAAATGAATGCTTGCACTGTGTGATTTCTGACTAGATTCATTCTTTTTCTTTATATATTCCTTCCACTGCCTGATGTTCCCCTGATAGCAATTACAATAGTTGCCTCATACCTCTGTGCATTTTCTTTGGAACTAGCTACATATTTACATGATTAAGTCCTTCTTTTGAGTTAAAATAGATTTCTTTTGGTGCTTCTTAACAGGAACTTTTTACAGTAACTAAATTTTTTTATTTAATCACTCTTCCCCTGTTATCTTCCCTTGCCCACTTCTGCTTTAGGTCACATGCAGGTAGGCAGATGTTTTTGATGCATCTATTCATTCGGTATTTCTGTTATACAACACCCGGTTCTCTTTTAGCCACTTAAAAATCATGTATTGATTAATGAGGGCCACAGGAACATCTAGAGCAGGGGTCTCAAACTCAACTCACCTGGGGGCCGCTGGAAGTAGAGTCTGGGTGAGGCTGGGCCGCATCAAGTATTCCACCACCGTGGTGGTGGTGGGCCGCTCATCTCACAGCCAGCCTGGGCACCGCCGGCACTTTGAAGGCCGCAGGGCCCCTCCCTCGTGCCCCGCCTGTCCCGGCAATTGGCCCGCGGACCGCGAGTTTGAGACCCCTGGTCTAGAGGACCAATGACTTTTCAGAGGCCCAGCTCCCACATCAAAAGAGCTCTGACTTCAGAGCTGGGACTCTGCACCTGCAGTAGAGAGCCCCTTGGTGTGGAAAGAATTGCACTGGCTGCTTCTCTGGGGGTAGTTCTGGGGGTGAGACCAGGATTACCAAGGTACAGCATCCAGCATCCTTCTCTCCGTGCCTGCAATGCCATCACCCCACAGTCAGCTGACCTAGGCTGGGGGTGGATAAAACCCAAAGAATTGAGCAGCCTTTTCTTCCTCTCTTGGGAGGTTTTGCTATTGCTGCCGTTTCTACGCAGTGGCATCCTGCATATCCTGTGCTGTCGGAAGGTAAGAGTTACTGTGTATAGGATCAGATAGAATCTGCTTGTTCTTTTGTTGTCCAGATGGGCCAACAAGGCCTGGGAGTGGGGTTCTTGTGGCTGCAATTTGTCTTGCTGCTGCTGTCCAATTCCCCTTTGTGCCTCCATTCCCTCTTTCCCACCTTTATTCTTTTTAGATTTTGTACTTGTTCCTTTACCCCTGTATTTTAACCTTTTAATAAAGTCGTTTGTTTCCCCAAGCTTGGGGTTTATCATGTGCTGAATCCAGTGGCCGGCTCAGGGTGCTGGGACCAGGGACCTGGGACCTGGGCAGGATTTGGCCCAGCTGGAGTGTGGAAACCCTGCTGGCTTTCCATTACAGTAGCATTGTAGGAAGAGCCATCATGCCCCTTACACATATATCCCCTGTTCAGCCACAGTTCCTGAACAGGGTTCTGTGTTCCCAACTTTTATTGCATTGCTTTTCTCCATGGGCAGTTTTGGAAATATCTGTAAGAACACATATGTAAAACATTAAATCAGAACTAAAAACCTAAAATAATCACCACCCTACCATGATGGAAAAGCACTGATTTTTTTTGTTAACAGCACAAAGGATGTAGAACAAATGGTGCATTTCATTCAACAAAATTCATACAGTCATATTTTGTTTTAATTAAAAGTCAGATACATAATAAAAATGTAATCTAGTTTCAAAAGAAAATTAGAGAGACTGGCTGCAAATTAGACAATATGTAAAATAATGGACAAGGTTCATTCATTCATTAAAAAATAGACAAAATTCCCCCCACTCCCACTTTTAGCAATTAGTTCTCTGCCTCAAGCAAATTTGCCAATATAGCTCTTTATTTGCTGATCAACCTGTAAACAGCTCACCTGTACCAGAAACTCCTGAATAGCCAACAATTGTTATACCAAGGCTCTGTCCATCTTTTTTAGTCAGCTGAACTTCAAGAATTTCATTTTCCTAGGAAATAAAATCACATTGTTTATTCAGCCTAATGTTTAACATAAGAAACATTCCTAAAATGTTCTTCAACTAATGCATTTCTTCAGCAAATACAATGAATACCAACAATTCAACATCGAAGTGATGAGATGCTAAATAAAATAATATTTCAACAACAGTCCACAAGAAATGAATCACTCTCATAATTTGATTGTTCTAAAGCAGAGTGGTCCAACAAGTGGCCCCTGAGGCCTTGTTCAGCAGCTCTCTTGCTGTCCAGAGTCCCTCTGTTCCACCCTGCACTCCTCCAATCTGGATTGCAGCAATGGCATGGGCATGTCTGTAGCAAGCTCTGCCAAGGTTGGTGACCTGTCCTGCTCAGGAAGAGAGTAGGTTGAGCTGGCAGCTTCACAAAAGCCCCATGCCACTACAGCTGATGAGTGCAAAGGCCTTTGCACATGCCAGCAGGAACGGGCAGGGCATGCTAGGAAGAATTGTCAGCTCAAATAGAAGAGGCTCGGTATGCCAATTCTAAGCAGGAAGGAGGGGCTGAGGGGATCACATGGGTTTCTTGGAGGGAGAGATAGGGCAGAAAGTGATGGCCCACCCAGAGGAGTGCTTGGCTGTGATCAGAGAAGGATGCTGGATGCTGTACCTTGGCAATCCTGGTCTCACCCCCAGAACTACCCCCAGAGAAGCAGCCAATGAAGAGATCACAGGCCCACAAAGCGATCTTTTTTCATTCAATTAGTCCTAAAATCATCTTAAAATCAGGCAACTGCCCCAGGTTCTTTTTGGCCTCCAGGTTCCATGTCAAAATCCTCACACGGCCCTTGAGGTACAAGAAGTTGGACTCCCTGTTCTGAAGTTTATTACCTACTAATGCCCACAGCAGGTTATCAGAAAAGTAGTGGGCAATGTTCAATTGATCTCATAGTTCATTAGGAGTAATTTCAGGTACTATATTCCCTTCTAGAAGCTGAACTGGCGGGCATAACAAGCCTTTTGCTACTTCAAAGAAATACACATAAGTAAGATACAAAGACAAAATTAGCAGCAAGTTTTATGCAGAGATGTATACATCAATGGACTCAAAGTAAAGGCAAAAAAGAAGGCAATAAAGAAAGAAAATACTAATTTTAAATGAGAAACAATTTAAATAACAATTTAGAATAGTGTAAATGTAAATCAAGTAAACATCTTCTAGCTAATACTGTTGTAAGCTAAAAGTGACCATTCTAGCGCTAGGAAAAGTCCAGAAGTCTATGCTAATGCTGTTTCACTGCCTAGCTCAAGTAGTTTGGAAGCAGAGGTCGTGGATTTGCTAATGTCAGTATCCAGAAGACTTTGGGGCACTATCAGCCCAGCTTATGCTTCAAATAAGCCAAAGTCAAGGCTGGACCAAGACATTTTGGTGTCCAAGGTGGAGCATATCCCACACTCCAAATCAAGATGCATTGCATCCAAGGCTGCTCAAGCTATTTTGGAAGCTGAGGGAGGAAACCTCCACAAACTCCCCTCTACCTCCATGGCAGTTAAGATTATCATAACTGTTCATGAAAACCAGAATCAGTTACTTGAGGTGGCCACCTCATTCCACCCAGTGAGAGAGCTGCCCTTCAGTGCCAAATTATGTTTCAATGACCCATGTTCCAACACTGTACTGTGGTGGTTGAAGAGGAAAAGTAAAAAAGCTGAAGAGATACATGACAGGACAAGAGACATTTCTGAAGATATTCCATACCTAAATCTTAGAAAAAGTAGAAACAGATGGCACAGAAGCATAGCTTTGCTTACATTTCAAGACCTCCTGCATACTTTGAGTAACATTTGTTGATTTTAATTATTCTAAACTGAGAAAGGCTTTTGATTAAACAAAACACTTAAATATGACCAACATTAAATTTGTTTAAACATTTTTAAAGATGCTATTTTAACTGTAAACATAGCCTTGTAGATAAAGACTTTAGAATGTTATTGTATCTGCCTGGAGTTTTAAAAAAGGGAAAGAGTCATACCACAGCCAATATCCAGCCATTTTGCTTGATCAGATTAGGATTTGCTTGATATACAATAGCCTTTAAAATCTTTAAATATTTTTATACTGTCCATTAGACTCAGTTCCAGGTGGTTTAGAACAAACATACACAGGTATGTAAACTGATAAATACACTGTAAAGCTAGTAGATAAAAGAGCAATTAACAAATACAAAAACTTGAGCAAATAAGTCCCCACCACCAAGAATATTAGTTAAAACAACAGCACTAGGCTAGTCTGCAAGCAGAAGACATTCAATAATAGTGGTGCCACAACCAAATTAGTCATTTCCCTAGATGAGGCAGATTATCATGGAAAAGATATAGAAAATTAAGGGAAACAGCTATAAAGAAGAAGAAAATAATCTTTTATCAAATAGAAATCAAACCAAACACCTTTTATAGTGGAATTATAGTACTGGAAAGATCTTGGTACTGGAATTCTCACTGAAATGTGACTTCTATATTTTGCAATCAGTATTCAATTTTCAATTGCAGCATTTGCTGTAAGATGCAATTCATGCCAGAGTTGTAAAATATTAATATACTCACTGCGTCAAATCGTCTTTCCTGAGAAAAGGCCACTGGCTGAGTCACAGGAGTTGGGGGTGTCACCGTTATGTCACACAAGGGATCTCTGGCAACCACCATTTTAACATAATTTCCACAATTTCTCAACACTTGAGCAACCTGTTCACTACTCATTCCTTGTACATTAATCCCACCAATTTCCAAGATATGATCACCAGTTCTGAGTCTGCCATCCTACAAGTATGGAATATAGGTTTTCAAATTAAAAGTAGCCATTGAAATTGACTGCATATTTTGTCAAATTGTTCTTCACAAGGCATCTAGAACATGTAACATACAATCAACTTAAAACAATGCAGCAGCAAAAGTTGTTTCAAAAAATCAAGATAAATAATAATTTTTAAATATATTTAAAACCTACCACAAAATCCATTGGGCACTGCTTTGGAATATAACTTTCCAATTAATTTATAAGGGGAAATGACAAACTTTTTAAACCATTGGGAAACAATTGAAGAATAAAACAAAGGAGATTGTTATTCAGAAAAGCAATTTGATCACACTGATTAATTTTTAACAAATTCTGCTTATTTTCACCAGAAAATGGGCAATATCCAATTGGACACTAGTACCAATTCAAATTTCTCCTGTTAACAGCTTGTCCAAGGAACTCGTACTACACTCGTGACTTGTACACGACTTACACTAGTGCAATATAATTTACATTAGCACTGGTGTTCTATTGGCTATACGAACAAGCAGGATTGCCCGTGGGAAACACAGCTAGAGGGGTGAGTCTTCAAATACCACTTTCCTCTAAGTTCAACATTTCATACTTATATGGACCCACAAACACAAACCCAGAAATATGTAATTAGGATTGATATAAATTGACAAGATGATATAAAAGCAAGCATATTTTCCTCTTAAAGGTATTTTTTATTTCTTACAGCAAGATCATAATTCAATTTAAGCTCTTTTTCAGAAGATATATATGTACAAAGAGTCACTCATACCAGTCTACGCATAACACACAAGCTCTGTAACACTGGGAAAGCTGCTCAGATAAGAATGCCTCAGTGTGTACTGCATGAGCAGAACAATTCATTAATGAAGTAAGCACCCTTTTATGAAGAGCTTTGACATTATACCACCCATAAGAAAAGACTGTGTGAACGGTTATTTGTGTACACCAAAAAAGCCCAGTATCTAAACAGGCCCTTGCACTCATTATCTCTTGATATTTCCTTAGTAAATTTATCACCTTTAGTCACCATTTTGTACTACATCCTATTCTTAATTTACAAGGCTATTGCAAATTAAGACAGTGACATGCATGATGTTGAATGCCAAAACATTTTGTTCCTTACAGCAAAACAGGTGTTCCAAAGACACAAAAGAAAAGCATTCATTATACCAGACAGTTTTGTAGAGGCAGCAGAACAGTCAACTTTAGAATTTCATCTCTGAGCCTCTAAATTTCATTTTTATTATAAACTGGAACACATCCCGTAATCTCTTTTCTAGGCATTAACTTTAATAAAATGAAACAGGGCTCTCTGTGTATCCACAAGGTTAGAGCAGTAGTTTTATTTAACAAAGGTTTGTTTGTAACAAACTTGTGCTGAAACACAAATCCTAAAACATGTAGCTTTAGTGTTAGTTAAGATCCATGGAAACAAAGCGGTTCATAAGTTTTCATGAACAGTTGCCCCAAAGACCAAAGTGAAATGTCAATTGTCATCTGGAACACACAGACAAGGATTTCAGTCAATAGACTGTAACCCAAAGGCTACATAGTAACTTGATACTCACAGGAAGATCTGTAGCGCTATGATTGCGCAAATGCTTTCTGACATGATCAGACTATAGGCATACACACTGAGTAGTGAGATGGTAAGTTGGCCAGCTTCTCAGGGCCCACTTTAAAGCATAGTTTGCTTTGCAAATCTGGATCAGAACCTGATCATTAATGAAATCACTGTGCTTACTAAGGTGGGCAGGGACATGAAGAGAAGGACCATGAGACCAGGTTCAGAGCTGTTAATCCATGTCCACACCAAACCATGCCTTAGCATTATGTATGAATTCCACTTCTGTGCTTCTGTTCTTCAGCACGTAAAGCTAATGGTTAAGATATTCCTGAATTTTTGCCCCAAACAGCACATATTCTTGTTAATAATTCCCTTTCTAAGTCACTTAGTGTTCTAAGTTCTTCACTTCCCTTCAAGTGAAGGCATACTTGAAAACCCATGCATCAGACCCAGAACCAGTACTGAGAAGTAGTTAACTTTGCCCTACCTTTAGTATACTTTTGTACATAATGGGACTCAGCCTTGGATAGTATCAGTCTTCTTTGATCATTAGAAGCAATGTCATGTTTCTGTCATAACTATTTGGTCACTATGAACATGCCATGTGGAATAGGAGAATGCAGGACAGGTATCAGGAAATCATAACAGATGGGTTAAAATTTGAATGTGGGGGTCAAGTTTTAGTAGAAACTCCCCCATTCTGCCTTATCCACAATGTTCCTTCCAAACTGCTATCTTTATGTCTCGACTTCAGAATTTGTCTAGGGCAGGCATGTCATATTGAATGCAAAAATGGAGATGGCATGTATCAGTAAGGGCTGTGAACAGCCTGTAGAGCAATTTGTCCCAGAGTCTGCCCTCCTTGTTGTAATAACATGGATGACTGCTTGGGTTGGCTTTGCCATTCACTTCACAACTGCTGAGGCAAAGAATGGAAATATGTATATTTAAGCTCATATCCAATCTTCTTTCCATACTGCTACTTCCACAGTCCAGTGAGACAAGCCCAGGGAAGGCCTGTAGAACAATGCCAGGGATTATGAAGGGGCTGCTTTAGCTCTTTAATTTATCTACCTCTACCTGCTACTTCTCTAGGTCAAATACCTTAGCATATTTTTGAATTGCCAGATATTAAAACAATTGAACACAGGATAAACAAATTACCTTATCTGCTAGTCCTCCAGGAACAATAGTCCTTACCACTACACCAATTGGTTTTCCTCCTACAATTCCAAAACCTAATCCTGAGCCATCATTAATAAGCTCAACTTCTTCAATGTGGCCCCAACTGATCTGGAAAAGATAGAAGATGAAAGTCCATTTATGATACCATTATATGTATCAAGAATAACTTTCTGCACAATACATCATAGAGCTATCTTACGCATCAGTCAAGTCATCAATCAAGACTCCCTTGTGCTTAGATTGCCTGGTGTACATGCAAAATATAGTGGGTCACAGCATTACAGTAAGCAGGGTGGCTGGTAAAAATGCATGCACTACAGCTGAAACTGCTATATTTAAAAATGCATTTTATCATACTCAAGACTTCCTCTAAAAACCTCCATAAGAGAGAACGTTGTCCTGGGATTCAGGAGATCCAGGTTCTGCCCCATACTCAGCTGTGAAGCTCACTGGGTGACTTTCACTGGACCAGTCACTGCCAGCCTCATCTACCTCACAGGTTTGTTGCAATGATAAAATGAAGAAGAGAAAGATTATGTAAGCTGCCTTTGGTTCCTTGCATGAAAAATCCTGAAATATAAATATAGTAATGAAATAATAAATTACATGAAAATAATACCCTATGGCAAGGGTGCACAGCTTGTGGCTCTCCAGATGTTTAAGCTTACAATTGCCATCAGCCCTAGCCAGCATAGTCAGTACTTGCCCTTCTAGGAATGAAAGGTTACAGAGAAGAGAAGGACATATCCATATACAAATCATATGCAAGGAACCAAAGACAGTGCATTCTTTTTATTCTTGCAACAAGCTTGTGAGGTAGATGAGACTGGCAGTGACTGGCCCAAAGTCATCAGTACTGGGCTAGGTGGGCCAATGGCCTTCCTTTATTCCTACCATCTCTGACCATGGATGGTCCATCATGGCTGACTGGACTTCTTCCTGTAGGGAGGAATGGGGTACAGCAGGTAGAAGTTTTGCATTGATTGGGTTGGGTATGTTAAGAATAGCTTTATCAGAGAGGGAGACTATATAGCTCTCTAATTCTGGGGAGGCAGAAGCCATTAACTGCTCAGATAATTCAGAGATGAAAAGCAACAATCACAGCTGCATATGGTAGCAATGTCTGCTCTATTAATGTGGGGCAATCTCTGCAGAAACTTGAGATTCATATTTGTTTCAGATTGTATTTGTTCACTGCCCTCTATTTTTACCTCTTCTTGTGTATATACAGTATATGCAGCATAGCATATACTGTTAATTCTCCTAGTTACATTGCACAATATACGTTTTATCAAACTTTACTGGAAGCAGGTCTCTAAAGCTACAGCCTTATGCTCGCTTACCCAGGAATAAGTCCCAAACCAAACACAGTGGGACTTACTTCTGAATAATCAGGTATAGGCATTCATTGTTAACTATCTGGTTTTGTAGAGTTGGTGGTCTATAAAAGCAACATGAAAATAAACAAAGTTGTTGGGCTAATCATTATATCATTTCTCTCACTGAAACAGAATAGAAACTAAGTACATATGTTCAAACTATCTTTGACTTAACAAAATGTTCTTCAGGTCATGAGGACTTGTTCATCCTGAATGCAGTTTTAAAACCTGTAGAGAACCTATTCAGTATACATTATTTAATGAAAAAACAGTTAAAAGTATTATTCTTTAAATGTCTAACAGCAACAATCAGTATTGACTATCTACTAAAAAATATCTATCTAGAAGATTTACTACAAATGATCCACATAACAAATTATTATTAATTTCATTATTACAGAGTTAGTAAATCAAGGTCAATGAATTCACTTGACACTGTGCTTTGAAAGACCACCCCATCACCTCAAGAGAGTAAGTTGATTGAAAAGCTGCAAAGACCATCAACATATGACAGTGGGAAAGAAAGCACTAACTATGCATTTCAGAATTTTAAAGACAATCATATATACATCTGTATTTTTGCTGGTTTTAAGAAGCTAAATGAGTTAATCCTGGAACAGTACTGTATGAGCAAACTGCAAAAGAAATCCTGTTTCTTCAGAAATCCAAATGCCAACTATTTGGTTTCATCTGGGCATACTGGGCCAGCTGGAATGATGCAAAACTATGAGATGTGTACCAAGTTCATAAGATACACAAGAAAGATATGGGAAACAGGGAGAGAAATATTTCCTGCAAGTTCATTAACCAATGGACAGAGGCAAGGTATCTATAAATGAAATGGCTCCAGGCTTGGAAAACTACTCAGATCTGGTCACACAGTCTTCATCTTACAGAACACTATTTAAACAAGATGTATTAAACCAGTTGGCTTAAATGAGTATTGCGCAAACTATGGAGCAAGTACAAAATTATCTGAGAAAGTACTTGTTTCTGAAACATCACACCATTTCAAGCACTTGGCTTGAATGTACTACAGTACATAATGCCAACCTCACCTATTGTTTTAAGCTCTTTGTATGGGTGGGTGAGGTGGGGCAAATTATTCATTGTAAAATGCAGGGCTTTTTTTTTTTTTGTCATAGAACGCACCGGAATGGCGTTCCAGCACCTTTTTTTGACAGATTTTTCTAAGTGATTGTGAATCGCCCTGTTGGGCCTAGCGGATCAGCAGCAAAAATCATTAACATAGTGCCTGCGGGCTGCTTGTGTGTCGGCGCTGATTGTCGGCACTGCCCTGGTCTCTCCCCTTCTCCTCCCAAAGCTTTTCCCATTCAGCGTTCCCGTTTCCCACCCTGGTGGGGCCCAGACCTCTTCTCCAACAAACAGCCACCTCCCCTACTCTCTGCTTTCCATGCCTCGCGATCTCCCTGCCAGGACAGCCAGCCTGCTCTGCCCGGGTCTGCTCCCAGCCCGCTTGTCTGTGGACAAGGGCCACCTCCTCACCTTCCCCCATCCTGGCGGCTTGGGCCTTGCAGGCTGCATCCAGACGGCCAGTCTCTGGGGATCGCCTGCAGCCCTCCCGGGGCGGCATTTCCTTTGCAGTAGGTGAAATCATTTCACTCCCAGAGAGAACCGTAATGCGGGAAGGCCACACTGAGAAGATCTTGCCTGGTGCTGGGGAACTTGCAACCCTCCAGATCTGGGGAATTGCTACTCCCATCTTACTTTGCCAGAGGGTAGGCTGGTTGTGGCTGATGGAAATTATAGCCCAGCAATGTCCGAGGGTGTGTGTGGGGGAGGCTGCATGTGCTTCTGCTGTACTATGAACTTGAGAATAATGCAAGGGAACAGCCGTACATTCACTTTCTTGCACGCACACAAACCCCCCTGCAGTCTGAAATGTTAGAGCCCAGCCAATTGAGAGACTCTGCAGTGGGGGCAGTTTGCGTGTGGCCATCCAGATGTTGCTGGGCTCCATTAGTTTGAGACAAGTTTGCTAAGGGAGGGGAAAGATGAGAATTGTAGTCCAGCATCACCTGGAAAGCCACAGCCTTCCCTCCTTTGGTCCATCACCTCCACCATTTTGCCCTGTTACAAGAGGACATAAGAGCACTCGGCTGCCCATTTGCCCTTGCTCACCCCCCCTTTTTGTTTACACAATCAAGGTGATTTTCAGAGAGTGGCACAGGGCTTATTTATGCCTCTAAAGCACAGGAGGGCACCCTCCAGTCTGGACCTCAGGTGGCCCATGGAAGTGGTATTTTCAGCCCACGGTCGCGTGAGTGCTTACTGCCGGCAGCAACCATTGTGTAAAAGTGTGACCCAAAGACATGAGTTCCGGCACCTTTTTTTTTTTTTTTTACAAAAAAAGCACTGGTAAAATGTATTATCTATTGGTAGCAACCCATCCATTGAATGTTTGAGAACTATGAAGTTTACTATGATAATCAGTGAATTTAAGTAAAAGAATGTAGAGTATGACAGAATAATATTATACATTGGAAATTGTTTTTTGGAGTCAACAGATCAGGAGCTAGTTACATATTTAAACAATGTGTTACAGAACACATATATAATACATATTGCAAGCTGGAAAATGTTAAAGCTTGCTATCTAAAATTACAGGACTAAATATGGTGAATTGTTCTACCTTGTCCATTCTAGGCAGTTTCCATGGAACAGGTGAAGCTGTTCCAAAAACACTGTAATATATGCATTTATCTAGGAATGTTTTAGTGCATATTCAATTTGATCTCATCTCTGTTGAAAATGAGACCCTAACCATATGGGGATAAATGTTCAAACCTTACAGTGTGTTTGAGACTGTTATAATTCAAAATCTTACTCTGATAGAAATACTACTTACCATTTCAGGTAAAGTAACATCACTCAAAACAGTTGAGCTCACACTGCTTCTATGAGTTACCCCCCTGGCAACAATCAAATGTAAGGAACCTGCAGACTGTTGGAGCAATATAATTGCCTGTTGATGGGAAATGTTCTGATCCAGCACAGTATGATTAATGGCCAATATCTGATCATTTTCCTTTAATCTTTGATCCCTTGGATAAAGAACAAAAAATGTTTAAGAAGTATTACAGAAACCCCATTGCACATTTCCAAAGAAAAGATGAAGTAATGCATGTGTGAAGTTTTGGAGGCAGCCTTAAGGTGCAGGTGTGGTATAGTAGATAAAACTGATGTAGAGTCACTAGTTTACATCTCTCACCTTGGCCATAACTTCATCAATGTACACCCAGAGAAGCCACTATTTCTCAACACCTGTACAGTCTGAAATATGGGAATAACAATATTTTACAGGGAGGCTCTTTGCATCCTACAATGGCACTAGTTGGCAAATTGTGACTAATTAGCCCATAATTTGCAGAGATGCACACTGTGCATGAGATGCTTCCAGTTTGTGTAAACAACCTGCAATCAAGTCATTAGTAGATTGCTAGTGTGTTGTCTGAACCCAGAAACTTTGGGTTATTTGTGGACTAAACAAATAGAAAGTTAACCAAAGAACTAATCATGGATTGTTCAACTCAAAAACAGCCCAAACTTCTGGGTTTGGATGTTAGGCTAACAGCCTGCAAACAAAATGATCATGGACTGTAGTGGGCTCTTGCAAAGCAGCACACTTGTTCTTTTCCACTCATGCACAACAACCCATGGATTGTATTCTGCAAACCGGGTTATTGTTATTATATTATAGAAAGAGAGTGAGTCAGAAAGGCCCTACCAGGGCATCTAGTCTGACCCCCAACTCCAGGCAACTCCACTCATGACATGCCAACCATGTGTATGTCCAACCTATCCTTAAACACCTTCACTGATGGGGTTCAACCACCTCCCGTGGAAGCCCATTCAACATTCAAAGCCTATTTTGTTTGTGAGGCTTTGAATATTGGAGTGCAATGTAAATTGGTTTGATTTCATCACTTGTTTTATAGGAGGTTTCCCTTAATGAGTCCTGAAAAGTGTGGAGTCCAGTTTACATCAGCTCATTTGTGTGAGCTTCATGGGTGAATGGTCCAGCTTAGCACGCTTTCTTACACCAAGAAGAGTCAACAGAGCAGATTTTTGGTACCTTGCAATTAAGTAGGTTGGTTCCAGAATTAATAATACTTTAGAATACACCCAAAACTAACTAAATGCAATTGATTTCAATGGGTCTACTTCAAGTATGACTAAACTTATATCACTTTCCTAAGAATAACTCCCATTCAACTCCAAATCACTTACTTCTGAGCTTTGGGTTACACTCTAAATCTGGAACTAGCCCAAGATGGTTCCATGATTCCTCACTTGGCAATTCTAACAGTATTTTTTAAAACACAAAAAGAAGCTCATTTCTTTCATTCAGCTGGTGTTAGTTTGATGAATTAACAATATGAACCAAAAATCTCACCTTGCTGCTATACTTCCTGGCTGAATTTCCTTAACGAAGATTCCAGCTTCTCCAATACTTTGATTTTTAAGAGCAACCACACTAAATCCAAGGCCTCCATTAAATGGCTTCTCTATATCTATATATTCTATTTGCCTGCCCTAATAAGGACAAAAAAAAAACATTATAAATAAGCTGTTTCTGTTCTCTTAGAATACAAATGCAAACCTTTATTCTTTGATAAAACTAAACAGAACATAACTTGTATTTAAACACAATGAAGTGAAAATCCTCCAATCTCAGGTCTGAAAAGCTACTTTCACAGTTAGGACATTGCATAAGTTCTCCTTCTTAAAGGAACTTTTTAAATAAAATTTGAAAAAGCAAAATACCTATACAAGACGTCATCTCTTCAAGGGAGAAAAGTGAAGAAATACTATACCTGGACAACTGGTCAAAAAGCTAAGATTAATTTCATGCCAGATAAATAAGATTTTGACTGGTTGTTAATCTCATCCCCAGGGTGGAGAATGAAATGAGGGTGCTGTTACAGGTATGTGGTTTTAGAGGGTCTTCCATATTATTTATAATTACCACATTTTATTTTGGCATTACTGTTTGTTTCAGTGCTATCAACTACTCTGAGGCTCAGCTGAATCATGTGGTGGATAGAAGTTTACATACAAGTAAGAAAAAAGAATCCAAACTGTAGTAGGAATACAAACATGAACTTATTCCAATCTGTTTAGAATAGACATAAATAATGTTTGTCAGGATTAAAGTAACATTTTTCCATTTCTTTGTCTCCTCACAATAACTCTTCTAGCTCTTAAAACCTCATAATGTAGATTAAAATGGCGCTATGGATAGTGGCACCCATTGGGCACCCATAGTGTGCATGCTATGCACACAGAACAACAGAATGTCTCTCTCAAGAGTAGGCAATCCTTTCTTGGCACCTTTCAAGATTCTTTACCCTTCTCAATTATTTTTTATTTTAATAACATTACTGTGATTACTGTGATTACAAGGTTTCTGTTGATGCTGAAAACTGTGAATGCAAAGGAGTTGTTTACTGTGTTGGGGCTCAGACCAGCCTGGCATACAGACCTTTGGGCAGCATAGTTCTCATTTGCCACATCTTATCATTTGTGGTGATGCTCACAACAGCTTGAAAAATTGCTAAATGTGCCCATGGTCCAAAAAGGTTGCCTGCCACTGTTCTAAAGAAATTTACTATACTGATTTCTACAGATATTCAGTAAAACACAGAATGATGAAATGAGAAGGCTCTTAAATGTGAAGACCTCTTAAGCATGAAGAACCCAACATACATGTGACCAACAACTTCCTTTATGCCTGGGAAGCAATAAGTATTCTGTACAGATTTGGGAACAACATTGTACTGTGGATTTGGCAACGAGTTCCTACATTCTTTACTAATGGCAGTCCGGGAACTTATATTACACATTTTGCTATGCTTGCTATATCTAGAACTTAAATGAAGGGGTGTTTAACTATGGATGCCATTTATTTTATTGTTGTGTTTTAATAGTTTTTATGATCTATACTTGTGGTGGCTCAGTGGCTTAAACCATTGAGCTGCTGGGCTGGTTGATCGAAAGGTCGCCGGTTCGAATCTGCACAACGGGGTGAGTTCCCGTTGCTCTATCCCAGTTCCTGCCAACCTTGAAAGCATGCAAATGCAAGTAGATAAAAAGGTACCACTTCGGTGGGCAGGTAACAGCATTCTGTGCACTTTGGTGTTTAGTCATGCTAGTCAAATGACAACGGAGACTGTCTGCGGACAAACGCTGACTTCCTCAGCTAGGAAACGGAGATGAGCACCACCCCCTAGAGTCAGGCATGACTGGACTTTAATGTCATGGGGAAACCTTTGCCTTTTATGATCTATATTTATAATGTAATTGTTATTTTGTTTAACATGAGTTTTATTTTCCTAAGCAATCCTGAGCACTATTCTAGGTTCCTGTTCTGTAATTCTATTCAGGCTTCCATAAACTATCTACTGAGAGGTCACAAGTGCCACCCTGTGTTGTGAATTAAAGAGGCAGCTCTTCTAGGCATGTGTTTCTGGGCCGGAGTGACACTGACTCTTTGGATGAAGACAGTAAAGCCTGGGGAAGGAGGCCTGAAAACACAGAGATGGCGGAGGCCAAAGAACTTAACTCGCAGCCATTGTCTCCAGTTGTTCAGGCAGACTCTGGGAACTGACAGGGTCTGGAATTGTTGGGAGGGGGCATGGGGAAGAAGCCTGGTCTAATCCTTGACCCCATGATATGGTGTCAGGAGAGAGAGACTACCTAATCAGCAGACCTGCATACAGCTAGGATGTTTGCTGTCTCCAGAAGGGCAATTCCAGAGGAGTGAGATCCAGTTTTTCTCAAAAGGAGAGTTTTCAGAAATAGTTTTTAGTTTGGGTTCAACAAGCCACTCTGTGCATGCTTACAGACTCTTTCTTTGCTGGCTACAGCTTGCTGGATATACATTGAAAATAAAAGAAATTTTGCCAAAGAACTGTCTGCTTGAAAGTGGGGGTGGGGAGCTTGCTCTTGACACCCTGCCTCATCTACTCTTCAACCTTATTACATTGAGTGGGAAAGTGTGAAGAAGGATTATAACTATGTGCAGCTGAAAGCACAGGTTTACTGATACTGGACAGTAAAGTAACCAATGTTCAGCTGAATGGGGTTACAGCCTCTCTTCAGATCTTGCCACTTTTAGGCCTCTCCATGGATATGATTTATGAACCAGTTAGTTGTGCTGGTCATATGACATGAAATACTCCACCTACTCAGAAAACAAAGACATCAGCAACAGAAGCTTCACAGTACAGCTTCTCTGAGAAAGGATACAAGCACAGTAAAGAGAAGTATTAGGTGGGTTATACACTGGAAAGCTGGAGAGATTCTAGAAAACAAAATCCTAAGGGCCAATGAAAACTGAAAGAAAGAAACCAGTTGCATCATGCAAGAGGTGGGAAAAAGTCTTGGAAACTGTTGACTAGTGAGCAAAGGGACAAAGGATTGTCTGTACAGAATCCAAGAATATTTCTGTGCATTTAAGAGGTGCACAGAAAAGCAGAATTACATTATATGCTGCTTCCACCATTGCTGAAGCATTACAGCAACCTGGTAATCTTCAGGCAGCAACAAGGGAAAATTGAGAGCAGGAGAGTAGTTACCAAATGTCATGTATGGTTTGAGCCTCAGCTGCAGGTTCCTAGATTACTTTGATGTAGTCACATAATAATGTTACAAATACTAAAAGTAACATTTTCCATTGAAGTGGCTACACACATTTCACGTTTTTACAAAAGTTGACGGTTTGGTGAGAACCTTTCCATCATACATCATAAACATTCTATTACTCAGCAATTTTCAACTCAATACCAACAAAGTATATTCCCTTTCCTTGGTGTAGAAATGTAAGTTTAGCAACCAAGGGAATTTGACATTAAGGTGAAAAAACTATATATTTTGCACACTGATGGTGCTATGCTTTTACCTTTGCCATCCTTTGGATAACCAAATTAAATTCATCCATTTCAAGCTTGGGATTGAGAGAAGCCTTCAGACTATTATTACTGCAAGTCATGTAGGGATTCCCATTAGGAAGAGAATGGGAATCAGCATCGAACACCAGCAAACCTCTCCTTGTAAAATCAAAATCCACTGAATGATCTGAAGGTATGTACATGAGCTGTGGATACCAAGACATTCAACATGGAATTGTTATTAATATGCAACAAACTAAAATATCAATGGCTATGAGTGTTTTAGCAAACAGCAAAAAAAAGAAAGTTGTGTGGATGTTGAAAAGTACCACTGCTTTTCCAGAATACTTTTGTGCATCGGCTAGCAATAGAGCACTCCAATAGAATACACTCCAGGCTTATTGGTTACTTTAGGAGAGGCCAAGTATATAAATGTCAAAAACAGCAGTCCTCTGCAGTTGGAAGCAAATGGAAAAATAATCATAAATCTGACTTAGTATGTATTTTATAATTTAAAAATGACAACCTGACACTCATTCTTCTACTTTTTTCTTCTGTTCTCCATTGTTCTCCTGGATGTTATTTTGCATTCTTTGTAAATGTGACACAAAAAGGAGGAGAGCATTTTAGAATATTTTACATGCCACTTTCCATAATCCTTTTTGTGTAGAGCAGCCAAATTAAGTTTGATATGGATTTGTCTGAATCAGTATCACCAAGCAAAACACTCAGGGGAAAGTGATCTTCCCTGATTTCCTTGCTTGGCTAAGTTTTTCTGTTTCTTCTTGTTTGAGAGGAAGGTATGTTGCTGCTGCTAGTTGCGAAGTCGCGTCCGACCCATCGCAACCCCACGGACAACACTCCACCAGGCCTTCCTGTCCTCCACCATCCCCCGGAGTCCACTTAAGCTCACACTGACTCTTTCAGTGACTCCATCTATCCACCTCATTCTCTGCCATCCCCTTCTTCTTTTGCCGTCAATTGTTCCTAGCATTAGGCTCTTCTCCAATGAGTCCTTCCTTCTCATTAGGTGGCCAAAGTATTTGAGTTTCATCTTCAGTATCTGGCCTTCTAAAGAGCAGTCAGGGTTGATCTCCTCTAGCACTGACCGGTTTGATCTCCTTGGGCTATCTTAAAAAAAGGCAATTAATCCTTACACAGAAAACAACAAGGATTCAAAAGCCAGCTCTCAAGTCTCTGTTCAGCCGCACCCTTCACTCTTTTGGGCAGGATAGCAGAACAGGTAGAAGGTGCCTAATGTTTGGTACACTGACATATTTTCCCGCAGCTCCTGCCAGGTCATTTTCAGATCCTAGTTCTCCTGGCTGACAATTAGAGTTTATATTAGAAAGTTGAGAAAGAAATGGTATAATTTTCAGAGTGGTGGACTGGGAAAACCTGGGTAGTAGTTCTATGTTTACCAGGTGACTTTGGGCTATTCATTAATTCTCAACCCTGCCTACAAGTTCCCTATGAGGAAAAAAATAGAAGAGGGGCAGATCATTCATGCTGCTTTGAGATTTTTGTTTCATGACTATTAGTGAACTTTGGTATTATAAAGGGGTTAAGTTGAATGACATATATTACTTTTTAGAGTATCCTGAATAAATTGGAAAATAAACCCATATAAATAACAAGACAATGTAATTTTATATCAAACTGAATGCATAAAGTTATTTATTTATTTGTTTATTTATTTATTTATTAACCGCTTTTATACGCTGTCCACTACAAGCATCTTGGGATGCTTGTATTTAAACAGCTACCCTATCACAAGGGCTTGTTTTAGTAGTCACAGAGATCCAGTGAGTAGCTGGACCTAGAATCCTTATGCAAGCCACTGCAGCTAGCAGGGGAAGTGGTTACAGCATGTCAGAATATGACTAACCACCCAGGTTCAAATCATCATTAAACCATGGCACTTACTGGATGACCTCAGGCTGGTCTTGTCTCTAAGCCTATGTGTTCATACATATGGAAGGTAGTTTATGTGGAAGTGAAATGGAAGCCACAATGAACCAAAGGTTCTGTTTTTTCCATTTTCCCTCTTTCCTGGTTTTCTGTAAACTTGTCTGAAAGCTTATAGACAGCTGGAAGAGAACAAGGTCATGTTTTCCCTCATTGGTTCTTGAGAAGTTTCGTAACATCTTTTATTTTTTTCTTCAGCCAGAGTGCTAAGATAATGCTAGTTGCTTAGAGACCCTTAACCAAAATGCCCTATTATCTCTGGGACAGGAGTAGAGAAAAGTTAATAAGACAGGCCACAGGAAAAGGATGGGAATTATTTGAAACCTGCCTGCTGTCTGTGATGGAGTGCTTAAACCTGTTTTTTGAAGCTGGTGAGATTTGAAATAAAAAAGAAAGAACATTAGATTCTATCATGCAACATTAGATTCTATCATGCATATTTTAGAGGGTGATCCAGTGAGGCTACCTGTAACTTGCGAAACTTCGAGGATTACAATTATCTTACTGATAGAGGGAGGAGTGCAGAGTCCAAGGCTGTTTCTGTGGGCACTATGCTTGAGGAGAACAAACTGAGATGCTGCCAGGATACTTCATATCATGGCAGAGCCTCACTCCTCTCCTCCCACAATTGGAATGCCTGTCTAACATTGGTTCCAAAGTCATTCTTCCCACTTTGAAGCCACAGCTGGTGGGTCTCCTTCTGTCCTTGCTGCATGGGTGGACGAAGGGACTTTAAGTCCCAGTTCCAACCTCAGAGCACATTTCTGAGGTCAGAGCTAGGACTCTGAATTTTCCTATGGCCTTCTAGACCCATTCTAGAGACCTTAGAATTTATTTTATATTATTTTTCATAAACCTCTTACTCTATTTTTCTAAATGATAAAATGCATATGATAAGAATAGGACTCACACCTTTTTCAATAGACTGAACTACCACCCTTACATAAAGTAATTTTCCCTGAAGTTCTTTTAATCCTAGATACCCAATGGATCAACTACCCACAGGGTTTTGGTAGTCAGAGCAATCAGTTTCCTGATAACTCTGTTCAGAATCTAAGAAATAGTAACTAATATAGCCATGATACTAACTTACCCCACAGTGTTGCTCATGCAGGTAAGATCAGAGGGACTGGCCCAATTCTTGCTGCTATTTATTTATTTATTTATTTATTTAAAGCTTTTCTGTCCTGTCCCCTACAAATGTCTTGGGACAGCTTACAATAAATAAATATTTCTGCTACAACTAACCAGATGATGATTCTTTGATTCAGTCAGGATAGGAGGGGCATCAGGATAGAGGAGCATTACCACAAGAATCCATTTTCACATTAAAATAATGGGGAAATTTCACTCTGTTTATCCTTACTGGGTAGGTTGGTATGTCACACTAACTTGTCTTGGAACTAAGCCACTGGGTTCTTTCAAATGCCCAACAGATTATTGGAATCACTGTCAGTTCTACTTTTCTGTCCTCTAGTTGGTATCGCAGAGGATACTGCAGCATGACCAATTTAACATCTTTCCCTATTGCAAGCCATTTTTTGGCTTCTTTTGCCCTTTCTCCCTTTAAATCCTGCCCTCCCCCCACACAAACTCCCATTGGAAGTAGACCACTTTTAAGGGGCTGTCACTGGAAGCAACATGGGCAAAATCACTGGCAAGATCTTTATTTTTTTTTTAACCACTCTCGACTTTTTCCTGACTCACTCACTTTACTTAATCATTGTAGAATCAGTCACCTGGTTTCAGACAACACAACTCCCTGTGGGTAAATAAACCATAGAGTAGCCCATGGGTTCTCATAGTAGCTTGTCTGATTAAAATGAAAACAAAAGCAAGCAACTGTGGGAGAAGCAAACTGGACAACATGACAACCAACCTTACCTACTTACCCACAATACTTTATTGTTTTATCCTAACCAAGTCATATGTTAACTATAGTAGTGAGTGGAGCTCCCTAAGGGTGCATGGCTCGCTAAAGAACATGGGGAGTTGGGGGACCTTGTTCTTTTATATATGTATACACTTGCACCCTTATGTTTTTTCAATTTTTTATCTATTTTAAATCTCTATATAACATTAGTGGGAATCCTCCAAAACAGTTAATGATGCAATTAATTAAAGTTACCAATTAACTGCTACAATTAGCATCAGCATAGCAAAAGATACAATTTCACCATAGACCAATATATCATGCATAGTAACTTTCCCAGCAATTTCAGCAATACATCCCTCAAACATAAGCACTTGCACCAGTAAAACTTCATGTTTGTCACTTACTTGTTCCTTCAGCTGCTTGATTGACTGTTGAAGAATCAGCATGTGATTGAATAAGGGATTCTTGAGTGTATTATACAGAAAAGCCAGATTATCAATCTGTGAAGTGTCTCCTTTCTCATGAAGTTTTGTTAGTAGACGCTCCAGAATCCACAGCACCTGCTGCTTGTCTGTTGGATCCCCAAAACATATGTTAAAAAGCTGCTAAATACCTGATTATTTTGAACAAGGGAGGGGTTTTTTTCCCAAAGAGACCTACCTGCAACAGGATTTTCAGGCATGTTGGTTTATCTGTGCTGCACTCGTCAAAATAATCTGCTTTTTAAAACAGAAGCACAAGCTTAGCATTTCAATATATTACTCCAAAGAACAAAGCTCACACACCTGCACATGCACCTTTCTCTCAGCATGCATGCAAGCACAATGTAAATGGGAGGGGGGAGGGAGTTTTGGGAACCATTGTGGCATGCACAGCTTTCCTAAAGTGTCACCTGGAGGGTGCAAAAGGAGGGCATACAGCATAGAACAGAACAGAATACAGTGGTACTTCGGCTCACAAACGCCTCAGTTCACAACCAAATTGGGCTGCGAACAGAAATTTCATAAAAACTTTGCCACAGGCCGCAATCAAGAGCATGCCCACCTTCCCTGCATGGACACAATAGCAGTCATGCTGGGGAGAGGTGGGGAGATGGCTGCGATTGCGCCCATGTTCCCTGCCTGATGCACCTGCCCCTGGCTCCCCCCCAGCATGCCCACGTCTGCACCCGTCTCCCCCCCAGCTCGCTCGCAGTCACGCCTGGTCCCCCCCCCCCCCCGCCCTGCATGATTGCTGGGCGAAGGAAATGGGCTCAATCTTTGTTGTTCTTTGTCACTTTGCTTCAAATTTTTGTGAGTAAAAAAAAAAGTTGCAGAATGGATTAACCTTATTTACATTGACCCTTATGGGGAAATTTGACTTGGCTCACGACCAATTTGGGTCACAACCAGAGTCCTGGAACGGATTAAGTTCATGAGCCAAGGTACCACTGTAGTAGTAGAGTTGGAAGGGGCCAGAAGGCCATTGGGTCCAATCCTCTGCTCAGTGCAAACACCAAGTTAAACTATCCCTCTCAGATGGCTGTCCATCTCGAATGGCTCTAGCATGGGAGAGCCCAGAGCCTCCCTAGGTCATTGGTTCCTATTGTTGTAACAGTCATGAAATTTTTCCTGATGTCTAGCTGGAATCTGGCTTCCTGTAACTTGAGCCCAATAGTCTCTGTCTTGCACTATGAGATGACAGAGGAGAGATCCTAGCCTTCCTCTTTGTACCAGCCTTTCAAGTACTTCAAGAGTGCTGTCATAGCTCCACTCTTCTCAAGGCTAGACATGCCCAGTTCTTTCAATCTCTCCTCACAGGGCTTTCTTTCAAGTCTTTAGATCAACCTTGTTGCCCTCTCCTCTGAACCTTTTCCATCTTCTCTGCATCTTTCTTAAACTGTGGTGCCCATAACCTCAGATGAGACCTAACCAGTGCTGAGTAGAGGGGATCTAGTAGTTCGTGAGATTTTGAAGCGATACTTCTATGAATACAGCCTAAAATAGCATTTGCCCTTTTTGCAGCCACATCACATTGTTGACTCATATTCAGCTTCTGATTTACAACAATTCTAGGATCCTTCTCTCCCTTGCAGTAGAGTTCAGTCAAGTATTCCCTAAGCATTGTCCAGCATGCAGAGATTCCTTCTTTAATCAAATATTTTCCTAAAAAAAACCCACAACTATTTCAGCTCAAACTGAACAATGCTGTGGTGAAGTACTCCTCTTGTGCCTATATTAATAGTGGAGATATTACGAATCTAACATAAGCGGAAAGGGCCAGAAATATTTTCCTGCAGTTATTTCACCTTACATTGCTACAGCAAACACACACACATACTGCTAGCTTCTTTTAATGGACTTTGCTCCTTTGCCAATATAAGTTGCACTATCATGAACTTCCATATTAACAGAAGTTGTACTTTGCTTTGCCTTCCCGCCTTGAACACAAATTCTGCTTCAGACACCCAAGTAAACTGGGTCAGGACTTAGTGCCTGTCTCAATAAGTTTAGTGACCCTAATTACTGATTAGACTGTAAATCATCACTTGTTCGGAAAACCCTTTTTATATGTACACTGAAAAAGCCCTAATCCTATATATGCCCATTTAGAAATGCAGTGTCTTACAGAAGGATGCACCCCCATTTGACTTTTTCTAGGTTTTGTTGTGTTAAAGCCTAGCACTGAAATGAATTTAACTGGCATTGTTACCACTTAGAAACATAGAAACAGAGCGAGTCAGAAGGGGTCTCCCAGGCCATCTAGTCTGACTCCTGGCTCCAGCCGGCTCCACTCACAACATGCCCACTTGATGTACACAAGATACTCAACACAAAATGTGCAAGAAGTCAAAGGCCAGACCTCAGTCTGAGGATCTATGGCAGGACTTGAACATTTCTGTTCAGCAGTGGCCCCCATCCAGCCTGATAGAGCTGGAACAGTTCTGCCAGGAAGAATGGGCAAACATGGCAGGATTCAGATGTTCAAAGCTAAGAGAAGTTTCTCCAAGGAGACTCACAGCTTTAACCGTTGCCAAAAGGTTTTTTTTAACTATCGACTTGGAGCTTGGATACTTTTACAACCAACAGCTGCCAGTTTGTTGTTGTTTACTTAACATTTGTGACACAATAAAAAATATTTTCAACCTTCACAGCATTTGGTCTCTTGTGTGCATTATGAGTGGTAAGCAGGTCAGTTGAATCTTTTTCCATTCCAGGTTGTAACACAACAAAATGTGGAAAAGTCAAAGAGGAGATGCAAGGGCACAGCTTACTATTTTAGCAAGGTGCTATAGCTACAGTATGTGGAAGTAGCACCACTCACTACTTTATCTGGCATAAGTGTTTGGTAAGGACTTATGTTCCATTGGACCTTTTATGAAATGTTCCGTTTCTGCTTATTATTATTACAGTGCATTTTTATCCCACTTGTTTTCATCTTGTGAAAAACCCAAGTTGGCTTATGTAATACCTCCATTTTATCCTCACAACAACAACCCTGTCAGATAGGTTAGGCTGTGAGTGATGGATCCAAAGTCACCCTGTGAGCTTCATAGCTGGGTAGGGATTAGAGCATGGATTTGCCAGGTCTCTAGTCCAACACATTAGCTACCACAACCACTTTGGCTCTCACTGCATCACCCTAAGCTTGTCTATTCAGAAATCAAATCTCACAAAGTACACCAAGTAAGTAATGTGCATTATTGGAACTCTGACACTTCCCTAAGCTGGAATGGACCCGCTGTGTTTTTCTTAACAGATCCTAAACATTCTTGTAATGTTGCTGAAGCTGACATGACAGGCATGTCAGAGCAGGCCTTCATCCCACTGCCTTTTTGAAAAGAAAGCACCACAATGCCCTCTCACTGGAATTCTTTGACCACTGTGGTGCCACTTAAATTACAAAATGCAGAGTTCTGTTTAAGCACAACTTTGCAGTTAGGAAAAACCCCTTACATACAAATATGACTTGACAGGGCAACTTACACTGATAGTGTATGGGTGGATTTTTACACACAGTTTAGGCTGTCCTCTGAATTACCTCAGCTCTTGGTAAGGAGTCATACATAACAGATTCCAAGATAAGAGCCTTGGGCAAATTTGACAAGTCAATTAAAACTGTTTGGCCTGAAACAGACCTAACACCCATGGACAATCTTTCCTTGCCCAAAGAAAGCACACAATCAAGCAGAGAAGTGCACTTCTCCTTGTGCATGCATGATCACTGGGCCTGACCAGGCCCAATCCTCTCAGCCACACCACCCAGAAGGAAGGCACCTAAGTGGTGCAGGCAAGTCCAGCCCACTCTTCCCTGCCTCACGGAGAAAAAGAGATGGCTTCATCTTGCAACCCCTGCTCACTTGGACACGTGAGCGAGCAACAAGCCCTTGGCTACCTGCCTTCCAAGTCTGGTGGGAAGAGGGCATATTACAGTTGCTGCCACAGAAGAGAGTGGCACAGTCCAGCGGGATGGCCCACTCACTTGAGGGGCTACTCTGCCACTGGTGGTAGCCTCTGCTCCTCAGAACCAGTCCAGCTGGATTCAGCGTGGGCCGCACCAGTCATGCCAAATAAGTTGTCTAGAGAGAAAGATGGCAACGTGGCAAGTAGGTAAGCAAGGGGCAGTGGCTTGTAGGGGTCACCCCTGAGGACCCTCCCTAAATCCTGACATGCTAGCAACTGACCAGCGCTCCTGACCAAGCCGAAAATATCCTGCCACTGCTTCTGTTTTACTTTCTCCCCGGCTTTAAGCTGTTTATGTCCGGGTTTAAACAGGGACAGCTTCCAAAACAAACTGCCACCTTCTTCGTTCCGTGCCAAAACGAGGCAGGCCAGTGGAGTACGGAAACGCATGGTTAAAATTAGCGTGTAAAGCTGGAGAGTCGCAGCCTGGGTCCCTGAAAGGAAAAGCCCACCTGGGGAACAAAAGCAGAAAGGCTTCGATCCCAGGGCAGGGCTTTGCCAAGCAAGCAGCTCAGCCCCAAGTGCAGCAACTAGTCCGCCCAAGTGCTCGCCGATCATGAAGAAGGAAGCAGGTGAAGGGTACGACTCGACTGCCCCGCTGGTGGATTTCACACGACTTCTCTCTGCCCCTGAAATGGCACTGCAATCGCAGGAGGCGAGGGTCGCACTGCCTTCGGGACACCCTCTTACCTGGCCAGTGGCGTGGGGAGGAGAGATCTGCCACCGACAGCTCTCTCGGATCTTCGCTTGCTCACACCTGGGCGGAAGCGAGAGTTTGGCTTTTAACCACACCTCACCTGCCACACAGGAAGCCGCCAGCAAGGGGGAGCCGCTGCGTACCGAGCAAAACAAATGCAGGGACGGACGGGACAAGGGTGTAAGGGCATCGCTTTCAGGAGGCAAGAAGCGGAGGGATCTGGCTGGTTCCCGCGCAGCACTGCAGCCTCGGGCGGAGTTTTGTTTTTACGGTCAAGGGCCCCGATCCTGATAAAACTTATCCTTCGCTTGCCGTCCCTACCGGGACGGAAGGGGAGGGGGTAGAGAGAGAGAGTCGTGAAGAAGCAGTTCGAGGATCGCGGCCAAAGAAGGTGGCGAGGGAGGGGTGGGCGGACTCGCGACCTAAAAACTGCAATTGCAAGAGTTACACCCAAAGAAGCCTGAGAAAAGGAGGGGTTGAATCGGAGCGAAGACGCTAACGCTTCATTCATAGCCGACAAATGTACGTGCATTCTCGGGCGGGGCGGGGTGGGGTGGACGGGAAAGGACATTCTGTAATCATGAGTCACTGTGTGGGTATTTTAAATAAGTTATAAAGAAAACAAACAAAAATAAATTTGGCTTTACTTAGTAATGCATGTTGGGATATAAAAATCCAACATCCACAGTTGTGTAGTATCTTTATTAAAACCAACCCAAATTTCACAAAATTGTGCAAGTGTTCAAGTTCTTTTCAGCAGACTAGTACCAAAAAGTATTTCTATTTCTTTTTTCTTAACAAAAAGGATTGGAATCGTGGACTACCAAAAAAGTATCTGAAATGGCGCTTTATATGAATTTCATGAACCCGAAAGAAGCATTACAGAAAAAGAAGAGCAAGAAATTAAACACATGATGCAGAAAACAAGACTATTTTGGTCTTAATGAGGAACATATGGACTGTTGCACCTGATTATACATGATAAAACAAATGAGAAACAAAGTGAAGGAAGGCCTTGGGTGGAAATGTTAAAGAATAGTTTGGATGGTACAATATTATTGTTTAGAGTAGCCATAGCTAAAGATTCTTTAGCTGTCATGATGGCCAACCACCAGTAGGAGAAGTCTGTAAATTGTAGGACTTGTTTTTTCTATACTTGTATAGGATAGTTTCCTTAGTTACCTGGTTACAAAAATAAGAGTGCAATCCTTCCTCATATACTCAGAAGTAAGTCCCAGTAGATTTCACTCCCCAGCCCTATAGGTTTCAGGCTCAGCCAGATATTCTTTACTAGACTAGAAGCACAATTTTTGAGAATTCCATAGGGATGGCCCTGCTGCAGAAAAAACAGAAATCTGAATGGCCTCTTAGAGACTAATAAATGTTTTGAGGCACAAGCTTTGTTTGTTTTGCCTTTGTTTGAGTTCAGTTCATCAGATGCACAAAATATTTTCTTTAGTTGATAATATATTGAGAGATGCCAGTATGTGTAAAAAGAAGGTATGGTCCAGGGGATGTAAGTAGAAAGTGAGGATAAACCAGGGCTCAACCACCTTTGGAGGCCTGTAGGCATATCTGGGAATTTGATAAACTGTCCTAGGCACCACCCAAAATGGCTAAAGCGATTAGTGACAAATGGCACGTAACTTCTCCAAAATACCGTTAAGACTGTTTGAGTATACAGCAGAGGTGGGGTTTGAATCCCTACGTGTTAAACAGCCCTTTAGAACTCAGAGCTTCATTGCTAACAAAAACCTATTTCACAGAAGACAAACTTTTTTCTGCCATTCCAAGAGTATTGCTTCCTATCTCCTTTCCTTCTCACTCTAGAGCACCACATGCATATATGGAGGTTTGCTGCCTGCCCGGCGCACGCATCCGGCATGTGAAGGACAGAGTGGAGCGTCTTGTTCGCTCCGGGGGTCACCAGCCGCTCCTGGTGATCCATGTGGGCACAAACGATGTGGCCAGGCAGGGTGTGGTTGGGACCACCAGGGACTTTGAGGCCTTGGGGAAGAAACTCAGGGAGCTGAAGGCCCAAGTGGCCTTCTCGTCAATCTTACCTGTCTGAAGATTTGGGCCAGGAATGGGCAGGAGGGCCTCCGAGGTGAACAACTGGCTTAGGGTGTGGTGCCAGAAGGAACGCTTTGGGTTCCTCGACCACGGCACTTGTTTTCTTGCCAATGGACTTCTGGAAAGGGACGGGTTACACCTCACGAGGATGGGGAAAAGGTCCTTTGGAGATGCTCTAGTGAGCTTCGTCCGGAAGACTTTAAACTGAGCCGGGGAGGGGGGGGGTTCAGGCCCCCCAGTAACGTGTCTGCACTGGACAAGTGTTGGGGGAGGATCAGGGCTCTGGGAGCAGGGTTTTAGAGGTACTGCAGGGACTGACAGGACACCTACAGAGAGGGGCCAGGTATCAGGGAGGATGGGAGGAAGGAGGAGGCTGGGAACACCAAGGAAAGGAAGCGGTGGGAAGGAGTTGAGGTGCATGTACACCAATGCTAGGAGCATGGGTAATAAGCAGGAAGAGCTTGAACCCAAATTTCACAAAATTGTGCAAGTGTTCAAGTTCTTTTCAGCAGACTAGTACCAAAAAGTATTTCTATTTCTTTTTTCTTAACAAAAAGGATTGGAATCGTGGACTACCAAAAAAGTATCTGAAATGGCGCTTTATATGAATTTCATGAACCCGAAAGAAGCATTACAGAAAAAGAAGAGCAAGAAATTAAACACATGATGCAGAAAACAAGACTATTTTGGTCTTAATGAGGAACATATGGACTGTTGCACCTGGTTATACATGATAAAACAAATGAGAAACAAAGTGAAGGAAGGCCTTGGGTGGAAATGTTAAAGAATAGTTTGGATGGTACAATATTATTGTTTAGAGTAGCCATAGCTAAAGATTCTTTAGCTGTCATGATGGCCAACCACCAGTAGGAGAAGTCTGTAAATTGTAGGACTTGTTTTTTCTATACTTGTATAGGATAGTTTCCTTAGTTACCTGGTTACAAAAATAAGAGTGCAATCCTTCCTCATATACTCAGAAGTAAGTCCCAGTAGATTTCACTCCCCAGCCCTATAGGTTTCAGGCTCAGCCAGATATTCTTTACTAGACTAGAAGCACAATTTTTGAGAATTCCATAGGGATGGCCCTGCTGCAGAAAAAACAGAAATCTGAATGGCCTCTTAGAGACTAATAAATGTTTTGAGGCACAAGCTTTGTTTGTTTTGCCTTTGTTTGAGTTCAGTTCATCAGATGCACAAAATATTTTCTTTAGTTGATAATATATTGAGAGATGCCAGTATGTGTAAAAAGAAGGTATGGTCCAGGGGATGTAAGTAGAAAGTGAGGATAAACCAGGGCTCAACCACCTTTGGAGGCCTGTAGGCATATCTGGGAATTTGATAAACTGTCCTAGGCACCACCCAAAATGGCTAAAGCGATTAGTGACAAATGGCACGTAACTTCTCCAAAATACCGTTAAGACTGTTTGAGTATACAGCAGAGGTGGGGTTTGAATCCCTACGTGTTAAACAGCCCTTTAGAACTCAGAGCTTCATTGCTAACAAAAACCTATTTCACAGAAGACAAACTTTTTTCTGCCATTCCAAGAGTATTGCTTCCTATCTCCTTTCCTTCTCACTCTAGAGCACCACATGCATATATGGAGGTTTGCTGCCTGCCCGGCGCACGCATCCGGCATGTGAAGGACAGAGTGGAGCGTCTTGTTCGCTCCGGGGGTCACCAGCCGCTCCTGGTGATCCATGTGGGCACAAACGATGTGGCCAGGCAGGGTGTGGTTGGGACCACCAGGGACTTTGAGGCCTTGGGGAAGAAACTCAGGGAGCTGAAGGCCCAAGTGGCCTTCTCGTCAATCTTACCTGTCTGAAGATTTGGGCCAGGAATGGGCAGGAGGGCCTCCGAGGTGAACAACTGGCTTAGGGTGTGGTGCCAGAAGGAACGCTTTGGGTTCCTCGACCACGGCACTTGTTTTCTTGCCAATGGACTTCTGGAAAGGGACGGGTTACACCTCACGAGGATGGGGAAAAGGTCCTTTGGAGATGCTCTAGTGAGCTTCGTCCGGAAGACTTTAAACTGAGCCGGGGAGGGGGGGGGTTCAGGCCCCCCAGTAACGTGTCTGCACTGGACAAGTGTTGGGGGAGGATCAGGGCTCTGGGAGCAGGGTTTTAGAGGTACTGCAGGGACTGACAGGACACCTACAGAGAGGGGCCAGGTATCAGGGAGGATGGGAGGAAGGAGGAGGCTGGGAACACCAAGGAAAGGAAGCGGTGGGAAGGAGTTGAGGTGCATGTACACCAATGCTAGGAGCATGGGTAACAAGCAGGAAGAGCTTGAAGCTCTCCTGGGAATAGGAGGGTATGATCTGGTGGGAATCTCAGAAACTTGGTGGGATGAAAGGCAAGTCTGGAATGTGAACATAGAAGGGTATCACCTTTTTAGAAAGGACAGGAAGGGAAAGAGAGGTGGGGGCGTGGCTTCATACATCAGGGAAGGGATAGGATGCAGTGAGATAGAATGCAGCACAGATGGGGATTCGGTTGAGGGAGTCTGGGTGAAACTTAGGGGTTTTGACAGGGAAAGAGACCTGACAGTGGGGGTATGTTATCGCCCTCCAGGTCAACTTGAGACCCTGGATGATATCCTGACAGGATATCTCAGGGGAGAGACACAGTAATTATGGGAGATTTCAGTCTCCTGGATATTACTTGGGAGACTCACTCGGTGGTGACAGCCAGGTCACGTTGCTTCCTAGAAGCTATAGAGGGAGGGTTTTTCACACTGAGAGGCGACAAGGGGAGGAAACATCCTTGACTTGGTCTTGACCAATAGGGAGGAACTGATAGATGAAGTACAGATTAGGGGAGCTCTGGATGCGAGTGATCACTCCATCCTTTGCTTTGAGATCAGGGGACTGGGGACGTGCAGCAGGTCAAGCACTAGAAGCTGGGACTTCAAGAGGGCCAACTTTGGCCAACTGAAGGCCAGACTGGGGAA